CAGAGAAAAGATGGTCAACTTATTCTCCAAAGCATCTGCAGGCAGAACAAGCAGCAATAGATGGAAGCTGATCAAAGGTAGCTTCAACCTACAATTAAGGAGAAACTTCCTGTCAGTGAGAACAATTAACCAGTGGAACATCCTGCCTCCAGAAGTTGTGGCTGTTTCCATCACTGGAGGTTTCTAAGAGACTGGACAGACATTTGTCCAGAATGACATAGGGTCTCCTGCCTGAGCAGGGGGTTGGACTAGAAGACCTCTGAGGTCCTTTCCACTCTGTTATTCTGTATTATGAACTAGTAGTGAGTTCAGAGAAGGGTTTTTTTTTTCTCCCCCCATTAAAAGCTCATTTGACACAAAGCAGAAGGCCTGCTTTATCTCTAGAATGATTTCCTGTTTTAGCAAACATTCACTGAGTAATCCTTGGGCACTTCTCCACCAACTGCAATTGGATCAGCTATCAGACAGAGCGATCCACCGAAACTGCCCAACTTGATAGCCACGGAGTACTGCCACTCGTGTTCACATTGCTGTCCATTCAAAGGCAGGAAGTTCCAACTTGCTCTGGAGAAGGAAGCTTCGAGAGAGCAATAATGGTATGCCAAATCTTGATGAAGCAAATAGAGTATCTCAATTCTCATGCGTCTGGGGAAATGTACAGATAATCCTTGACTTACGACCAGCCTTCAGCCCAAAATTTATATAATAATAATAACACCCCAGACTTAACCATTGTCGATAAGAAAGACAAAAAAGTCTGGATAGTGGACGTGGCAGCGCCTGGAGACAGCAGAATAGACGAGAAAGAACTGGAGAAGATAACAAAATACAAAGACCTACAAATAGAAATAGAAAGACTGTGGCAAAAGCAAGCAAGGGTAGTACCAATAGTCATAGGCTCCTTGGGTGCAATCCCAAAACAACTGGAACACCATTTGAACACCATTGGCATTGACAAATTTGCTATTAGTCAATTGCAAAAGGCGGCCTTATTAGGAACTGCTTCCATCCTGCGACGATATCTGTAATACCATCAAACATCCATATCTGCCTATCCCGGGTCCTGGGTAAGGACTCGATAGGTAGACAAAATGCCAAATCCAGTCTGAACATCTGGCTGACTGTGCGATGATCCATAATAATAATAATAAAGTCAGAAGGGACCTTGGAGGTCTTCTAGTCCAACTCTCTGCTCAGGCAGGAAACCCTATACAATTTCAGACAAATGGCTGTCCAGTCTCTTCTTAAAAACTTCCAGTGTTGGAGCATTCACCACATCTGGAGGCAGGTTGTTCCACTGGTTAATTGTTCTAACTGTGAGGAAGTTTCTCCTTAGTTCTAGGTTGCTTCTCTCTTTGGTTAGTTTCCATCCGTTGCTTCTTGTCCTGCCTTCAGGTGCTTTGGAGAATAGCTTGACTCCCTCTTCTTTGGGGCAGCCCTGAGATACTGGAACACTGCTCTCATGTCCCCCCTCATCTTTCTCTTCATTAAACTAGACATACCCAATTCCAGCAACCGTTCCTTATATGTTTTAGCCTCCAGTCCCCTGATCATCTTTCTTGCTCTTCTCTGTACTCTTTCTAGAGTCTCAGTATCTTTTTTTACATCGTGGTGACTAAAACTGGATGCAGTATTCCAAGTGTGGCCTTACCGAAGCATTGTAAAGTGGTGTTGCTAAGTAAGAAATTTGTTAAGTAAGTTTGGTCCCATTTTTATGACTTTTCTTGCCATGGATAATAAGTAAATGTCAACATCCAGCTCAAGAATCCAAATAAAACTCCAGGTTCGTTCCATTTCTGAAAATCTCACTATTTATTGAATACACTGCTTGGTTACGTTGAAGCAAAACTAACTCTGAGCTTCCAACACCGAATCGTAGACTTAAGCAATAATTTTCCCAGCCAAACCCCCAACCTCTTACATAGTCCATATAAACAAGTTCACTTTGTTATGGGAACCGTCTGCTTCAAACCCGCACCTCTTATGCTGTCCTGGAAAAGGATTCAGGCTCTCACCGTCTTCGGCAGAATTGTACAAGTTTCATTTCTCCCTCTAAGCCACTCGAAAGTTAACACCTCCCCCTTGCTTACTCTAAAGGCAAGTTGAAACGCAGAGGCACGTAGTTGCCAACGTTTCAACCTTCACAGTGAATCACTGCAGGTGTTAAATTAGGAAGTGAATCTGGCTTTCCCATTAACACTGCTTATCAGAAGGTTGCAAAAGATAGTCACATGACCCCAGGACACTGAGACTGTCATAAACAGGGAGCAGTTAACAGGCATCTGAATGTAAATCCCACAACTATGGGGATGCTGCAACAGTTGTAAGTGTGAAAAAAAGGTCATAAGTCATTCTTTCAAGTGCTGTGGTTAACTTCGGTCACTAAACTATTGTCCAGTCGAGGACTATCTGTATTGACAAAGGTTCCACCAGCCTATAAATAGGCCCCATCAGCAGAGTCAAACAATAAACTTTGGATTAAACTGTATCAATCACTCTGCAGTTTAGCACTGATGCCTGTTTAAATTCCCTGAAGGAAGACCAAAAGATGCACGCTCTCTCGCACAAAAACAGATGTTCGGAAAGAACTGGCCTTCAATGCAAGCTCCTGAAATGTTTTATTCATTTCTTCTCCTTCTACAAAAACCAGATCCTCTCCTTTGTCTTGACTGAACCACCCATTATCCCAAAGCTTTTTTTAGGAGGCAGTTGGACTTCCTTGTTTTTCTTTGAAGACGTTTCGCTTCCCATCGAAGAAGCTTCTTCAGCTCTGACTGGATGGTGGCGAATGGAAGGATTTATACTCCTTGTAGACAGCTGGTCATTTGCCTCCTTTTTAGAGGGTCATTGAGGCCTCTTGGGGGTTTGTCTGTGTCCTCGGGGTCATCTGAGTGGTGCAAACGGGTGTGGACAGCCCTCTCTCAATAGAGGGGGAGGGAAACAACATCATCTACAACACAGTCCTTTCCAAGAAGACTCCACATGCATTTGCACATTCAGGTCAACTTCCAAGTGGCCTCAATGACTGCAAGTATGAAAATGACCAGCGGTCTGCAAGGAGTATAAATCCTTCCCTTCCCCACCATCCAGTCAGAGCTGAAGAAGCTTCTGGGATGAGAAGCGAAACGTCTTCAAAGAAAAACAAGAAAGTCCAGTTGCCTCCTGAAAAAAAAAAACACCTTTGGGATAATAACCATAAATGACTGAAATCTCCACAGACATGAACCACCCTTTCGTATTCCTGGAGATTATTTTTTGCTTTCGTCTTGGCTCTCATCCCCAAACTTCCTGGGGTTTTTTGATGGCCTCTTATTATAATCTCAGCCAAATCAGTTCTTGCTGAGCTCTTTCAAGATCAGCCAAGGCCAGAGTGGGGCAGGCAAAAGAGGATCACATGACCCTGGGACACTGCGACCGTCATAAATGTGAGTCAGTCAGCCAAGTGTCCAAATTTCGATCATGCGATCGCATGGAGACGTTGCGCTGGTCGTAAGTGTGAAAAATGGTCATAAGGCAATTTTTCACTGGCCTGGTCATTTTGAAAAGTCACCAGATGAAGGCTTGTAATTTCAAGGACTATCTGTCATTCTTCTCAGCACTTGGAAGGAGGCAGTGACAAGCTACTTTGGAAAAACTTGGCCAAGGAAACTGCAGGGACTTGTCCAGACATGAGCGAATGGAAGGGAAAAAAAAACCCAACAACATTTCCAGAGAATATTACAAAGTGGTGGACTTTATGGAAAATAAAACAAGAGTTTTTTCTAATTCCCTAGATAGATTTTTTTTTTCCAGCCAAAAAAATGGAGCCACAGCAATTTCGGCCCTCAACTTTCCGTGAATGCATCCACTTCATTCCTTTACAAACTGGATAAAAATAGGCAGCTTCTAAAATAAATGCTAGTTTTCCCAAAAGGAAGAAAGAAAATGGTTCACGTTGTAAAAGGGCTAAAATGTGGTTGTTTTCCTCATATTTTTGTAACATTGTTATGTTATGTTATGTTATGTTATGTTATGTTATGTTATGTTATGTTATGTTTGCCTCCAAGTGTCTTACTCCACTGTGCAACAGTCAACAACTATAAATATCAAGCCTGGTCAAGGAATGGAGTGGAGTGGAGTGGAGTGGAGTGGAGTGGAGTGGAGTGGAGTAGAGTAGAATGTAGAGTGGAATATAGAGTAGAGTAGAGTAGAGTAGAGTAGAGTAGAGTAGAGTAGAGTAGAGTAGAGTAGAGTAGAATGTAGAGTGGAATAAAGAGTAGGATAGGATAGGATAGGATAGGACAGAATATGGAAAGAACAGAATATGGAAAGAATAGAATAGAATAGAATAGAATAGAATAGAATAGAATAGAATAGAATAGAATAGAATAGAATAGAATAGAATATGGTAAGAATAGAATATGGAATAGAATAGAACAGAACAGAACAGAATAGAATAGAACAGAACCCAAATTTTGATCACGTGACCATGGGGGAGGCTGCAAATGCTTCTTAAATCCCTTTTTTCAAGATTGCTGTAACTTTGAATGGCCACTAAACAAATGCATGCAAGTCAAGTACTATCCATCCTCTCTTTTGTTGGCCATTAAAATTGCAGAACCAACCACGATAGACTTGATTTTACTACCGGATTAATTAAAAACCTTTCTTGAGAATTAAAATAAAACAACAACAACAAAAAAATGACCAATGTTTGTTATCACACACTTCAGTGCAAAACTATCTGACACCTGTTGCTTTAGGACTGCTGGCTTGACTGCTGGCTTGGAAAACCCTGGGGCCCTTTCCTTGTATAATCCCCAATTTTCTTCTCCCAAAGGTGCTTTTTCAGGAGGCAACTGGACTTCCTTTGTTTTTCTTTGAAGACGTTTCACTTCTCATCTGACACGCTTCATCAGCTCTGACCGGACAGTGGGGGAATGGAAGGATTTATACTTCTTGCAGACAGCTGGTCATTTGCCTTCTTTTTAGAGAGTCGTTGAGGCCACCTGCAGGTTTACCTGTGTCCTCAGGGTCACCAGAGTGGTGCAGATGAGTGTGGAGCCTTCCTGGAACTGCTGAAAGGATTTGTGTTGTGGACTGGAGATAGACAGTGTCGTGTCCCTCCCCCTCTGTTGAGAGAGGGCCGTTCAACTTTGACATAGACGGCCTCTTTGATCGCTCCTCTTTCGAGCCAGCGGTCCTCTCTGTCCAAAAGGTGAACTTTGCCTTTGCCTTTTACATGCAGATCTGTACACTGGGGAAACAAAACAACCACTTCATAAACACACATGGCACAACACAGCAGGGTCAAGCCATCAGAGCCAGAGTCAGCAGGGCCGTCTGCATTTAAAAGATAAAGGGGCGCTCTTTCCAAGACAGCAAAGTCCATATTTCGGACAGAGAGGACCGCTGGTCCAAGAAGCTTCTTCAGCTCTGACTGGAGGGTGGGATTGGTTTGAAAGAGGGGTCAAAGAGGCCATCTAGGTCAAAACTGAACCAACCTCTTTCAACAGAGGGGGAGGGATACGACATCATCCTTCTCCAGTCTACCACACAGTCCTGTCAGCGGTTCCAAGAAGGCTCCACGCCCATTTTCGCACTACTCTCTGAGGACACAGAAAAACCTCCAAGTGGTCTCAATGACCACAACCCTAATTCTAAAAGGAGGCAAATGACCGGCTGTCTGCAAGGAGTATAAATCCTTCCATTCCACACCCTCCAGTCGGAACTGAAGAAGCTTCTTGGGTGAGAAGCGAAACGTCTTCAAAGGAAAACAAGGAAGTCCAATGGCCTCCTGGAAAAAAGCATCTTTGGGACAACCAGGACCTGGAGGACTGTGAACCTCCTTAGCTTTGATGGCTGGGGAATTCTGGGAGTTGTAGTCCACAAGTCTTAAATTCACCAAAGTTGGAGACCCGTGTATTAAGTATTCCAAGATGGTCTTTCCATAAGACAGTGATGGCGAACCTTTTAGAGACCGAGTGCCCACACTGCAACCCCAAACCCACTTATGCATCGTCGGGTGCCGGGTGGGTGTGGCCCATTGGGTGGGTGTGGCCCATTGGGTGGGTGTGGCTGTGGTGGTAACAGCAGACTGGGTGGGACTAAAAAGTTCAATCAATCAATTCCAACTTTGCAAGATCTTGAAGTTGAAATTGACTCATTGATTGAACTTTTTTTTTTTTTTGCACACGGTGGCGGAGGGCTAAAACGAAAAGGTTTTATAAAACCCAGCTGAAGGCCTAGGACTGGGGCGACGGCGCGTGTACCCACAGAGAGGGCTCTGCGTGCCACCTCTGGCACCCCTGCCATAGGTTCACCACCCCTGCCATAAGACAAAGCCAGTCCTAACTAAATCTCTCCCTTTAGTCTTCATGGAGAATGGCCCACCTTTGATGTAGAAGGGATTAAAGGTTTACCTCTTCTATGTTCTTCCCTATTATTATTATTATTATTATTATTATTATTATTATTATTATTATTATTTACCAAACAAAGACAGAACTGTGGCCTCTGCTTAGTTCAAACAACAACACAGCTGGGGAGAAGGTTCTGGGAACAAGATTCAAGACACAAAACTATTTTAATTACTATTATTGCTTTTTCAAAATAGAGACATTGCTGCCAAGCTAGGCTTGAATACAGTCTATTGTCTTGCAGCCGTACACACTTCCCCGAACAGCAAGAAAAAGGTTGCATCCAATGCAGCCTCTTCTGATAGAAAATTCTGAATGAATGAAAGAAAGAGAAGGGAGGGAGGGAGGGAGGGAGGGAGGGAAGGAGGGAGGAAGGAAGGGAGGAGAGATGACTAAGTATTCTATTAAATTAGAAGAGTGCAAAAAACAAAAATTGAAAAGAAAGAAAGAAAGAACAAAAAAAGGAAGACAGGAAGGAAGGAAGGAAGGAAGGAAGGAAGGAAGGAAGGAAGGAAGGAAGGAAGGAAGGAAGGAAGGAAGGAAACTTTCTTTCATAAGAGAAAGGGAAATGAAAGGAAAGGAAAGGAAAGGAAAAGAGGAAGGAAGAAAGGAAGGAAGGAAGGAAGGAAGGAAGGAGAGGAGATAGCTAACTTCTAGTTAAATTAGAAGAGTGCAAAAAACAAAAGTTGAAAAGAAAGAAAGAAAGAAAGAGAGAAAGGAAACTTTCATAAGAGAATGGGAAAGGAAAGGGAGAAGGAAGGAAGGAAGGAAGGAAGGAAGGAAGGAAGGAAGGAAGGAAGGAAGGAAGGAGAGGGAGATGGCTAATTATTCTAGTTAAATTAGAAGAGTGCAAAAAACAAAAGTTGGAAAGAAAGAAAGAAAAAAAGAAATCTTTCATAAGTGAATGGGAAAGGAAAGGGGGAAGGAAGGAAGGAAGGAAGGAAGGAAGGAAGGAAGGAAGGAAGGAAGGAAGGAGAGGGAGATGGCTAACTATTCTAGTTAAATTAGAAGAGTGCAAAAAATAAAAGTTGTAAGAAAGAGAGAGAGAAAGAGAGAGAGGAAGGAAGGAAAGGAAAGGAAAGGAAAGGAAAGGAAAGGAAAGGAAAGGAATTGAATTTTGACCCAGTCCCATTATCCTACACATCTTCCAGATCACAGGAGACATTTTTGGCCTAGCACAAGAGGAAGCAAGACAGGCTGAGGGAAAGGATCATCACCTTTTCCACTTCCTTTTGCTTCTCCAATCCTCTGTTCAACAACTCTTTGCTAACAGAGGCAACCGGCAACCATCCTGCACTTTCATTTTTATGTCGCCGGGTAATTAGCGGCTGGCATTTACCGAAGGCTTCGGTGTGTTTGCAATACTTTGCATTAAATATTTACAACACACGCTGAGGGTGAGGAAGGAACCAAGGCAGACCGGAGACGCACAAGGCAAGTGAAGGAGCTCAGCTCCACTGGGAACAGTCCCAGGATTCCCCCGGCATCAGCATTCAGACGCTCAAGTAATTAATCCCAGTTCAACTGGGCCACCTCCTCGGCTTCACATCGCACAACAAGAGGAGGAACAACCTTTGCTGCTTAAAACAAAAATTGAAAAAAAAAAATCCACCTGCAGACAGAGCTGAGCAGACGCAGCCCTCTTGTCGTGAAACCAAGCACTGTCTAAAAGAAAGCAATCCAAAGTCCTCGGCTTACGACCTCGACCCAGCCCCAGATTTCCCTTGCTAAGCGAGACATTTGCTAAAGGGAAGTTTGCTTCTCTTTACGACTTTTCCTGCCCCGGCTGTTAAGTGAATCCCTGCAGTGGATAAGTTAGTAACACCGTTACGGGCTTCCCCCGTTGACTTTGCTTGTGAGGAGGTCGCAAAAGAGGGTCACGCAAGACCCCCCCCCTGGAGACCCCATGATGTCATAAATAGGAGTCTGTTGCCAAGCATCTGAATTTGGGCGGCGTGATCACCTTGGGGTGCTGCGACTGTCGTAAGTCATTAAGTCACTTTTTTTTTGGCGCGGTCACTAAACAAAACTGTCGTTAAGTCGTGGCCTATCTGCCTCTATTTGTGTTTTCCTCTGTTCTCTTGTTATTCTTTATCCATTTCTCCTGGTGGTTAGTTTACGTGGTTTTGGTTTTTTTTTTTTTTTTTTTTTAATGTGTACGTTTTGCAAAACGGAATAAAAGGATTCCCAACAAAAAAAAATTACAGGAATTCAATGGGGATGCTGCCATGGTGGTTAATTAAGGGGGGAAAACGGTCACAAGTCCTTTTTTTTTCCGTGCTGTTGTCATTTCGGACCGTCACTAAACGAACAGTTGTAAGTTGAAGGATTATCTGTATTGCAAGAGGGAGAATCAGCTAAGAAGAAAAGGCTGTTTGAAGGGGCTGGGCGTAAAACCAAAAGGCAAGGGAGAAATATCTTCTTGCCTCCATTCAATATCACGGCCGCAAAAGGCCAGGCGAGAACAGGCGGATACAGGGATCTAGCAGAATGAGTGACAGTGTTTCATCCAGTTTACAGGTTCTGCATCCTACAACAGCTGCACCCCCACCCCAGGAATAATGCTGATTAGAAATAATCAGCTGGGCTAGAAATAATACACCTTGCAATACATATGGATAGGATAGGATAGAATTTAAAAAATAGAAATAGAAATTGAAATAGAATAATGCAGAATAGAATACAATAGAATAGAATATAGAATAGAATATAGAATAGAATAGAATAGAATAGAATAGAATAGAATAGAATAGAATAGAATAGAATAGAATAGAATATGGAATATAGAGTAGATTAGATTAGATTAGATTAGAACAGAACAGAACAGAACAGAACAGAATAGAATATAGGATTGGATTTGAAATAGAAATAATGTAGAATACAATACAATACGAGAATAGAATAGAATAGAATAGAATAGAATAGAATAGAATAGAATAGAATAGAATAGAATAGAATAGAATAGAATATAGGATTGGATTTGAAATAGAAATAATGTAGAATAGAATACAATACGAGAATAGAATAGAATAGAATAGAATAGAATTTTAAAAATAGAAATTGAAATAGAAATAGAATAATGTAGAATAGAATACAATATAGAATATAGAATATAGAATAGAATAGAATAGAATAGAATAGAATAGAATAGAATAGAATAGAATAGAATAGAATAGAAGATAGGATAGGATAGGATGGGATAGGATACAATTAAAAATAGAAATAGAATAATGAAAAACAGAATACAATACAATAGAAGAGAGTGGAGTGGAGTGGAGTGGAGTGGAGTGGAATGGAATGGAATAGAATAGAGTAGAATAGAATAGAATAGAATAGAATAGAATAGAATAGAATAGAATAGAATATTGGAAGCAACCTTGGAGGTCATCTAGACCAACCCCCTGCTCAGGCAGGAAACCCTATACCATTTCAGACAAATGGCTATCCAGTCTCGTCTCAAAAACCTCCAGTGTTGGAGCATTCACCGCTTCTGGAGGTAGGTTGTTCCACTGTTTAATTGTTCTGTCAGGAAGTTTCTCCTTAGTTCTAGCTTGCTCCTCTCTTGCTTCTTGTCCTGTCCTCAGGCACTTAGGAGAACAGCTTGACTCCCTCTTCTTTGGGGCAACCCCTGAGATACTGTAAGACTGAAATCCTGCCCCCCCCCCGTCCTTCTCTTCATTAAACTAGACATATACCCAGTTCCAGCAACCGTTCTTTGTATGTTAACCTCTGAATCGCAAGAAGCCTCCAATATTGCAAGACAACTACTGCCCACTCGGGAGTTTTGCCAAAGAGCAAAAACTCAACCCAACTTTTGACAAGCTTCCCTCTGCTGGGCGTAAACCGTGACACACACACCCCTTCCCTGCCCCCACGTTGCCTTCCAATCCCCCTAAAAAGAAAAGCAAGAATACAAGGAGCTACACACAACCTACAATTTAGCAAAGTACTTAATAATAATAAAAAGCAACTTCAAGCTGGTTCTGGGAATTCCCCGCCCAGTGAGATTTTGTTTTGGAAAAAAAGAAAAAAGAAACAAAATATCAAATATTTAGAATAAACACCCAACTTGATTCGTAAGCAGTCGAGACGAAAACTTGCAGCGCAGGAAAGAAAATGTCTCCTTGGCCGGATTTTACATTCGCAGCTTTCCTTCCCAGGCAACGTGGAAGTGGCGCCTATTTCACAACGTAACCGGCTTCACACGACCCGCTCAGCTAATCGGGTTAGAGAGAGCTGCATTCCGACAGGTTGGGCTCAATGTTAGTTCTTGGGGTTTCGGGGCAGCGCAAACCCAACTCACCCTTCGCAACTGTGCGCACACCCCCCCCCCAGCTTGCCTCTCCAAACACAAAAGCCCCTGCAAAGCAGGACACGCCAATGACAGCCCTCCCCATTCAGACGACTCCGGGAAAAAGCGTGTCGGGGGGGAAAAAAGCTCTGCCAGCAGGAAAAGCTTCAAGGCAGGGAAAGAGCAAAGAGGGGAAGGGAACGAACCGGTCAGCTAGAAGGAGAGGAAAGGAGGGGGGAGGGGGTTATTTGCGGTTCGGATATGGAACGTTCCTATACACGCGCAAGGCTGGGGTCGTCCGAATGCGCCTCCTCACCCAGCAAACGCGGCGGAGGATTGGTGGGGGGGGGAGACGAGACGCCTCTCTCTCTATGCACCAAGCCCAATTTGGGAGAGAGGAGGATGGGGGGGGGGCTGTAGAGGTTGGGGACAGGGAAGGGAAGGATGGGGAGAGGAGGGAGGGAGGGAGGGAGGGAGGAAGGAAGGAAGGAAGGAAGGAAGGAAGGAAGGAAGAAGGAAGGAAGGAAGGAAGGAAGGAAGGAAGGAAGGAGAGAGACGGGGGAGGGAGGGAAGAAGGAGAGAGGGAGAAAGGCAGGGAGGGAAGAAGGAAGGAGAGAGGAAGAAGGAAGGTCACAGAAAGGAAGAAGCAAAGACACAGAAAGGAAGGAAGGAGAGAGAAAGGGAGGGAAGGAAGGAGGGAGGGAGGGAGGAAGAAGAAAGGGAGGGAGGGGGGAAGGAAGGAGAGAGAAAGGAAGGGAGGAGGAAGGGAGGGAGGGAAAGAAGGAGAGCGAAAGGAAGGGACGGAGGAAGGAAGAAGGGAGGGAGGGAGGGGAGGGAAGGAGAGAGGGAGGAAGGGAGGAAGGGAGGAAGAGAGAGAGGGAAAGAAGGAGAGAGAAAGGAAGGAGGGAGGAAGGAAGGAGGAAGAGGGAAGGAAGGAAAAGAGGGAGGAAGGGGGGAGGAAGAGAGGGAGGGAGGGAAAGGAGGGAGAGAGGGAAGGAAAGAAGGAGAGAGAAAGGAAGGAGGGAGGGAGGAAGGAAGGAGGAAGAAAGGGAGGGAGGGGGAAGGAAGGAAGAAAGGAAGAAAAGAAGGAAAAGAGAGCGGAAAGGAGGAGGGGAGGGAGGGAGGGAAAGAAGGAGAGAGGAAGGAGGGAGGGAGGAAAGAAGGAGGAAGAAAGGGAGGGAGGGGGAAGGAAGGAAGAAAGGAAGGAAAAGAAAGCAGAAGGGAGGAAGAGAGGGAGGGAGGGAGGGAAAGAAGGAGAGAGGAAGGAGGGAGGAAGGAAGGAAGGAGGAAGAAAGGGAGGAAGGGAGGAAGGAAAAGAGGGAAGAAGGGAGGAAGGAAGGGACCAGAAGGGACTCTCCCCCCCTCGCCAGCCCCGAAGGAGCCCGGCTTACCTCCGCCTCGCTGCAGCGCCGACGCGCAGCCGGCAAGCAGCGCTTCCTGCGCGCCAGAGAGCCAACCAGCCAGCGGGGCCCGGCCTGGCCTGGCCTCCCGGCGGGGCCGCCCCTTCCAGCAGCAGCAGCAGAGCAGCGCCCAGGAGGCGGGCAGGCTCGGCGGCGCCCCGCCCGGCTGGAGGCGGAGGCGAAGCCGCCCAGCGGGGCTGCGGCTGGCCGGGGAGGCCCGCGGCTCCCCCCGCTGCCGCCGGAGCCTCAGCGCGTCGGGCCTTCGGGCCACGCCGGTGACATCATCCCCCCAGCCGGGCAGGCGAAGCCGGCCGGGGCTGCGCCGACGAAGCTCCTCCCGGCCGGCTCCGCCGAGCCCTGGCCGGCCGCCGGGCCCCGCTGCCTGCTGCCTTTACGGGCGGTCCTCGACTTACGTCCTCCCCGAGGGAGACCGGCGTGGCTGTGGCTAAGGGAGACGCTGCCCCGTCCTTTCCTGCCCACCACGGACGTAAAACGAATCACGGCAGCTGCTCAGTTAGTCACCCAGTTCTGAAGCCAGGGTTCTGACCCTGGGGCTTAGGACTCGCTTAGTGACAGAAATGGAGGGGTCCCGGGGCTGCCTGGGAGCCCGATTTGGAAACGGACGGATGCAAGCAAGGAGAGGGAAATGCTAGTCATGGCCCAGTCCCCACGCCTGGCAACCGACATAAGGGCGAGGACAGGTGGTCTTCAACTTTACAACGGTTCATTTAGTGACCGCTCAAAAGACACTAAATAAACGTGTGGCCGATTTTTCCCCAAACACACACACACATAACGATTGTGGCAGCCATCCCCAGAATCACGTCATTTTCACATTCATGTTCTCGGCAACCGGTTCCTATTTATGACGGTCGCAGCGTCCCCTGGGATCCGGTGATCCCGTTTTTTGCAACCTTCTGACCCGCAAAGTTAACAGGGAAGGCAGATTTCCGTGGCCAGGAATGGACGGGGTGCTGTCTCACTTAGTCACATCCATGGGGCTGGGCCCCATCAGACAGGACGTAAGCCGAGGACCACCCAAACATAACCTGACCCAGGAACAGCCGCCACTGGGCAAGGCGTGGCTGCGGAGATCGGGGGCTGGCGCCTTCTAGCACTACTCCACCATTGTGTCAGAAAGCTGGTAAGCCTTAATAGCCTCAGTGCCCCGTGGCTGTGTGCAATTGTACATGTTTGTTGCCGAGGGCAACTGCAATCAACTTCTTCATTGTTAGTTCAGCATCTTTGTGGTAACTATATCTGATAAGTGTGGTAAGGCTACACCTTGAATATGGCATCCAGTTTTGGTCACCGCATTATGAAAAAAGATGGTGAGTCTTTGGGGGGGGGGGGGAATGTGCAAAGAAGAGCAACTAAGATGATTAAAGGCCTGGAGACTAAAACATACGAAGAACGGCTGCGGGAATTGGATGCGGCTGGACTAGGAAGGACATGATAGCAGTCTTCCATTATTTGAGGGGCTGTCACAAAGAAGAGGGGGGTCAACTTATTTTCCAACGCACCAGAAGGCAAGACGAGAAACAATGGATGGAAACTCATCAAGGAGAGAAGCAATCTGGAATTAAGGAGGAACTTCCTAACAGCAAGGACAATTAACCAGGGGAACAACTTGTCTTCGGACGTTGTGGATGCTCCATCATTGGAGGTTTCTAAGAAGAGACTGGACAGCCATTTGCCTGAAATGGTATAGGGTCTCCTGCTTGAGCATGAGGTTGATCTAGAAGACCTCCAAGGTCCCTTCCAGCTCTTTTCTGATTGATTAAAGTCTTTTGTGTTACTGGTAATCTCCGTACATAGATAGCTAGATGACGGTGTAAGTCTGTAGTACAGCCCCCATCTGTTCAGCACAAACAGGAAGGAAGAGTATATTCATCCTTGCCTTTATTGTTTTTGTAAATAAATCAAGGTGGCAAAGATGCCCTAATACCCCTCCTTCCTACCACCCCCCCCCCATATCCTTGTGAGATGAGTTGGGCTAAATTGTATTTCTGCACTCTGGACAGTTGGCAGTTAGTTTTAGTCCTGGATGATTTATGTGCGGTTCAGCACACTTGATTATTTATTTATACTTTGTAGATAGCTGCCCATCTCCCAAGACGGTGATGATTAAAACGGAAACGAAAAGACCAAACCAAACCTAAAACCAAAAGGGAAACACAAGTATGCAGAACGACTAGATCCAATAAGGTCAACATAAAATTTATGTGTGAACTCTAAAAACATTCCACTTATTATATGTTTTATTATACAAAAACCTATCAATATTACTGTGCCCTTAAGGTTTAACAGTATATTCAAAACCTCCATTGGTTTCTACTAGTGGAGAAGGGTTTTGCTGTTATTTTTGTATTTTGTATGTGTAAATATGTATACTCATGGATGTATTTGTGCATGCATCTGCATGTATATAATGTAAGTATGCTGGTAGTTTTAGTTAAAATTAACAGGGCCGTCCAAAGCAGTAAGTGCTATCCATACTAGTGAATCATCACCACATTGACAGTTGGGTAGGAGAATCAATTGCTAGTGTGCAAAACCTTTTCTGGAAGTGCAAACAGTGACAATCCCATTAATAGTCATTCTCGGAAGGTTGTTCCTGATAATCTGAGAAAGGACAACATGATTTACAGCTATCCTGTGTAGGAATTTTCTGCTTTCAGTTCCTTTCAATTAAGACTAGGTTGGGAAATTGTATGTCTATCATGCCGGGGACTTTTGTATGGATACAAAGCATGGACAACTATCCCAAAAGGTAATCAATGGAACCGTGAGCCTTTTGAAATATGGATACAGAACATTAGTCACAACGTTGAATGCGTACAAAGAACGCATCCAAAGAACAGGTGAAAAGTGGGAAATTGTAATTTCACCCCCCAAAAAAAGAATTAGAATGTTTAGGACACGTCGTAAACACTCAACCAGAAAAACATCAGTTGCTGAGGTTAATTACGGAAGGAAATATCCAGAGGAAATGTATCCCGGTTGGGAAAAAAAAATGGTTTGGCCAAAATGCAACATTCTTGTTTTGTACAAGATCATCAAAAGAACAAAGAACGGTGAGGGTTGCCAAGCTTCAGGCGGAGATGGTGCTAAAAGACGAAACTTGCAAACAAAATCCCATCATGCATTTAAAGCAAAGGAGGAACTAATTGTTTGTGGCACCATTCAGCCTTGCGTGAGATGTCTACCCCTCCGTGGTCTTGTTGTTGTTAATTGCGAAGTCGTGTCTGACCCATCGCGACCCCATGGACCACGTTCCTCCAGGTCTTCTTGTCCTCTACCATCTTCTATAGTCCATTTAAGCTCACGCCTGCTGCTTCAGTGACTCCATCCAGCCACCTCCTTCTCTGTCGTCCCCTTCTTCTATTGCCCTCCATCTTTCCCAGCATTAGGCCCTTCTCCAGTGAGTCCTTCCTTCTCATGAGGTGGCCAAAATATTTGAGTTTCAACTTCAGGATCTGGCCTTCTAAAGAGCAGTCGGTTTTTGCCTTTTAGTACTGTCCATGGGGTTTTCATGGCAAAGATACTGGAGTGGTTTGCCATTTCCTTCTCCAGTGGATCACATTTTGTCAGAACTCTCTGCTATGACCTGTCCGTCTTGGGTGGCCCTGCACGGCATAGCTTATAGCTTCATTGAGTTACGCAATACAGATATTTCAGTTGACTTAATGTCAATAGGATTGCCACTGTATCCCAGGTTAAGAGGCCAGAGAAGCAATATAACTATTCACAAACAAAAAAAGGACTGTAATTCTTTCTTGATCTGGACAAGCTTGCAGTCATTCCTGAGATATCTGAAGGATCTACCCGTTCCCCTGAACTTTTCAAGGAAGCACCACAAGCCATTACAAAAACAGAATCGGAAGTGTCTTAAATGAGTGTCTCTGGAGATTCTCAGCCATCCAGGTCCTGGTTGTCCCAACGGTGTTTTTCCAAAAGGTTAACTGGAGTTTTTTTGAAGTTTTTTTTTTCCTTGAAAACATTTCATTTCTCATCCAAGAAACGTCTTCGGTTCTCAAAGGAAACCAAGGGAAAAAATACAAGTCGAGTTGCCTTTTGGAAAAGCAATTTTGGGACATATAGTCAATAAGGATTCCCTTCAGTTGTGGCCTTGGGTCTACTATATCCTGTTTTGAAGTCCTGACTAGAGAGTTGAGAGAAAGAATTAGCCAAGGTAGACGGTCTTAAAGCAATCGGTGCTTGGAAATTCCAAGTTGTATTCAAACGGAACATCTGGAGACAACAGACCTGACTGAAAACATGAACATTTAGAGATAAACCCCCCCAAAAACCATCCTTCGCTTCTAGCACATGGTTGAGATTCAAGTCTCAAACCTTCCATGCGGGAGTAACTTCAAGAAGAACTCTACATGTTTTCCTGGGACACCCACTTACCTGCTTACAAGGCTATCCATCATAGTCTTTAGAAATGCAATTTCCAGGCTATTTTTTGGAAGAATGTGCTTTCTCCTCTTGCCCACCTCTTTGTTCCCTAACCTTAGCATCTTGAATAATCAAAGTACAATTATTGCTTGGAGCTGTAGTAGCAAAGAGGGTAGTGACAAATTGATTGCTGATTGTCGTTTTATCCTGACCTCTTCTTATGAATTCCTGCAGGCCAGGAATTCATAAAATATCTGCGTAGATTAGTTATAAATCAGAATATCCTTTCTGATGATCCTCGCAGTATCTCAACCCCTTCAGAAGGACAAATCGGCCACTGTCCAATCAATCAATCAATCAATCAATCAATCTCTCTCTCCCTTTTTCTCTCCCTCTTCTCTCTCCCTCTCCCCTTCTTTCTCTCCCTCCCCCTCTCCCTTCTCTTTCTCTCCTCTTCTCCCTCTCCCCCTCCCCTTTCCCTCTCCTTTTCTCCCTCCCCATCTCTCTCTCTCTCTCTCTCAGGGTTGACATGAGGGTCCTTTGTGCTCTCTAAGCTTGCTTGTTTTCTTGCGGACATTTCATTACCCAACTAGTTAACGTCATCAGTGCTTGAAAGGGCTGGGATTTGCAGACAGGAGGAGGAGAAGGGGAAGGGGGAGGAGGAAGAGGAGGAAAACAACCAAGCTCAGAGAACACTGGGGACCCCACAGTCATTGTTCTCCTCCTCCTCTCCATAAACACCACTCCCTTCTAGCACTGATGACGTTACCTAGTTTGGGTAATGAAACGTCTGCAAGAAAACGAGCAAACTCAGAGAGTACCCAGGACCCTCATACCAGCAGACAACTAGCCATTCCTTTCTCTGTTTTGTTAGCCTTCCTTTCTTTCCCCATTTCTTAGCACTTTGGCCTCAAAAAAAAAAAAACCTAACTTATAAAATTGCCTTGTTCTCTGGCCTCAAATTCACTCAGCTTCTGCGATCCTGAGGATGGGGACACACACAACACACACAAAACAACCCCCCATCCTTGACGCCTACTTACATATGGCGAAATAGTTTTTGCAGTCCTGCCACATGCTACCCGCAGCTGTTTCTATGGTAGTGCGATTTGCTTTTGGATGAGATTCCTACGAAAATGTAAGGCTATCTGAGTGAAAAACAAGGCTACAATTTTTAATTTACAACCGGCGCTATGGTAACCGAGCACATTATTCTGTTTACAAACACAGATTCCAAGCCTGGGAAAGTTCAGCTGTTTTTTTTTTTAATTAATTAAATAAATAAATGGAGGAGCCTCTCTTGAAGATTTCATGAGTAGCACTGAAAAATGATTCGAACCGGTCTTGAAGAAAAGGAATAGACCCACGTTTCAATACCAGAGATATTCTTCACCTTCAAATGGAGTTAAGCGAATGATATTTCTACACACCACGATAAGATCAGACCGGTGAACAGAAACCACTGTACGAGGAAAAAAAAACAAAACCACACCACAATTCTGAAAAGCCAGCAAATTCAGTTAAGAGTGCAAAACTGTATTTATTACATGTTCTGTTTTAGAACCCGGAGCAAATCGGAAACCCCTTTCCAGAAGTGAATAAATTGGACGATGCTTTTTTGTTTCTTGAAAAGCCAAAATGGACAGAGCAATGGAACGCTCAGAAAAATGTTTCAAAAATTTGTATTCCCCTGAAATAAGAGAGAAGATCTGACTAGCTGGCAAGCCTCCCTTTGAAATGGTTATTTGTCAAAGTTTTCTTAATATTTTTGTTTAAATGAAACACGGGCGGTTATGTTCACCCAGTTTTGCCGTTGCTATCTGTGTGGTTCCTCGTTTTTGTGTTTTATTTGTGGTTTTGCCTGGGTGTGCAGGTGCGCTAACTGCTTCATCTGTGTTATCTTCCTTTTTTGTGTGTGTGTGCGCCCCGTGGTAAAATTTACTGCTGGATGTTTCAACGTTATTTAGGTCCCCTTGTCGGATTGTCTTGTAACTTCTTTAGATTGCAATACTTCCTGTAAAATGAATGCTGGATCCCCCCCCCAAAAAAAAAAGGTAATTAAGACTGGCTTTATGTTTTGGCCATGGCCCTTTGCCCTGGATTTAGATTCTGACACAAACTGCTTTCCTTCCAGCCTTCTAGAAAATTCTTGTTTAGTTACAGCCGATAATCTGACAACCCCTTTCAGATAGCATGTGTAACATGTTCCTATTCTCCCTGTGGCTGCCAATCGTGAAAGTTTGAGATTCTTCTCTTAAATAATCCGTAGGTTTTACAGTTACGCTGCTGTCTGCATTAAAAAATTGTCGTTTCAAATTTCTGCACCCGACGGAGGGAAAAACTGGCTGCTTGGTGGCTATTTTCTGAGTACAAGTAACCTGTGAGGACACCTTGAATTAAAGATCATGTCAAGAATGAAAATTTGGCAGTTACGTGCCCCTCTGTTTTCATCTTGCCATTAGAAAAAAAGGGGGGGAGATGTTATTTTTGACTGGGTTAGTCAGAGAAACGAAACTCTTCCAGTTCTACAGAAGGAAAGCCAGCGGTATGGAAACCTTTCAAGGACATTCTAGCAGGTGTGAAGAAGATAGCAGACGGTTCCCATAACAAAGAGAATATGTTTACATGAGCTACGTGGCTGGGAAAGTCATTGTTATATTCTATGGTCTGATGCCTTAGGATTTTAGTTTTACTTTGCCTTTACCAGGCCATGTATTCAATAAACAATTAAGCTTTTCAGAAATGAGAATAATCCTGGATTTTTTATTTGGCTACTTGAGCTGGACGTTGACAGATCTGAACTGGAAAAAGACAACGGGTCAATGGCAGAAAGACCAGCTATTCTGGTCACAGTGTTACTTTGTCAAACTCCTTTATCGCTGCTCCACAACTAAAATCATAACTGTGTAAAAGCCGTGGATTGTATGCTTTTTTTTAGGAGGAAATCAAAACAGTCCAAAATTAAGGGGAAATAACCAATGTTTCTTCATTCACATTCCTTCTTTCGTCTTCATATTGACTAATATTGAAAGCCAACACTGCTGGCTCGGGGACAGAAACACACAGTGTGTGATTGCAGCCCTCCCAGAGCATAATTTCATGCACTCTACACAACAGCCAACGGTGATGAAAATTGCAATAGTCATAAAGACGAACCCATTCCCGAGATCTGAATTGTGATCCCGTGATCACAGGGATGCTGCAAAGGCCGTAACTGTGAGAAATGGCCACAAGTCACATTTTTTTCAGTGCTGTTGTAACTTGGAACAGTCACTAAATGAATTGTTGTAAGTTCGAGGCTTGCCTGTACTGTGCAATTTATTCCTTTGGCCCAAACTGGACAATTGTAGCTCAATCCTCAAGGGCCCCATTTTAGGATGATTACGTCTTCAGTCACTAGAGAGTTCTGCTCAACCCCAATGAATTATTAAAACTCTGACATTTACATATTTTATTATTATTATTACTATTTGAGATGACTGCGTATTACAGGATACCGACAGCTGTTAGACATCTGTGTACACAGATACATTTTTTCCTCGTAAACACAAATGCATAATATAATAGTATACAGAACAGAAATGTTCTCCTGTTCCTTCGTCTGAAAAGTAGCTTATTTGGAAACCAAGTTATCCTAAGGAAGTGTTCAGCCCTCTTGTGTGATGGTTTTTTTTTCCTTTTTTGTTTTTGTTTGTTTTTGGCAATCTGACTCGTGATTTCTGAAATAATTGGAACATATGAAAACTAAAGAGACGGGAGCAATGCTTTGGTATATTTTGAATACGCGAGGGTATCCCAAAAGGATAAAAATGATGGATTCACACACTCCAGCATTCTTTACAGATTGTGAAACGACGAACAAAAAATAAAATAAAATACAATCATGTAATGCGTTGCTTGCAAGAAAGCTCTGTAAAAAGTCAGCTCCATTCTGAAAACACTGTGCCAAAATTGGAAAAAAAAACACACATCTGGATTTAGCTTTTATACTCTTTGGAAAAAAGACAAACAACCTTAGACTTTTTTTTCCCCTACCCTGATGGAGCAGAAAAAAAATCCCACAAATACACAGAGAGTAAAGATTAAATATGAGACGACACATTTCACGCAAAAACAGGAATATAAGTTAAAAATTCTGCTGGGGCTAATGCAGGCTCAACACTCATTTTCTCTTGACTTTGGTTCACAAACTGGATCTTGCCCCTTTCCCCTCTCAAACTATGTATAATGGTGGTTAATGTAATCAAGATTTCTGGTTTACCATGGCTTGGACTATAGAATATGAAGATAATGATAGTGTACCATCAAGTCAGTGTCAATTCTTCATGGCCAACAATTAAGGTTGTCTCCCAGAGGATCTGTCTCTGGTGCTTTAGATTTTCCAGCAGTGAGATCTGAAGACTGAGGACCATAACAGTTTAAATGGAATTAAAGTGGAAGGCGGAAATTTGGTCTATTGCTAGGGAAGGGAAAGACTGCCGATACAAATTATGCATTTGAAGTTTATTCACCATGGTTAAGTACTGGATGGGTGGCAGAAATAAAAGTTTTTCATGAGCGAAGTAAAATTTATGGAGCAAGACTAAACTGGTTCTGTTTGTGCCAGTTTCGTTCAAAACATCTGGAGCCCACGTTAAGATAACAACAGAAGGAATGCGATGGAAAACAAATTATATTGGATGGATATTCTGAGAGCAGGTCTCTAGTTTCTAGGATAGCAAAGTTTTCTATTGTGCTAACGGTAAGAACAATTTAACCCTGATTTTTTTTTTGTCTTTTTTTTTTTTTTAGAGAACACTTATTTTTCTATAACCACAGAACAGTAAATCTATTACTACAGGTTTCCAAAATTCTGTTTTTGGTCCGTTATCACGCTTGGTGCCAAAGCAATTTCCTACTGCCAATTCAACCTGAACGCTTAATGCGAGATCAAGCTCAGGCATTTTGGGGGAAAAAAACAAGTGCTTCAAACTTTGTGCTTCTTGCTCTAATTTGCCGTTTTCTTAGCAACAACCACAGGGAACAAAAGCCGCTAGTGAAACAACAGGATTTTGCTCACCACCCCATTCCACAATTGAGACGTTATTCGGAACACTTACGGAAGGAGTCCCAGTGGCTGCATCAAATCTAAACAAAATTCTTGGAGAAATATGTCCTAAAATAGTTAAAAAAAAAAACATCTGCCAGGGTGGGAATTCAAAATGGCAGCCATAGACTATATCATTGTAACCAACATCGTAGCCTGTTTTTAAACCCCTTGGGATGCCACTTTTAGTAAGACGTTAAGAGCGGGACAAAGTCCGTTAACACTGTTCGTCGTCACAAAAGGGGAGGAAAACATTTTAGAAACTAAAAAATAGGTTTAAATTTAGATCAATTTCAAAAGTAAAGGGAAAGTTTTCCCATTCTTGAAACTCCTGTTTGCTCCGACCAGTTGTTGCTACTCAAAGAATGAGCTGAGGGGGGGACAATCAACTTTCTTTGGACACAGGGGTGGTGGGGGGGGTGTCCTTCCTGCATTGGTTACCTTTCTGCAAGCAACTGTTAAACTATCAAACTCTGTCCATAAATTTGGTCGCTGAGGGTGAAACCATCCAGTTAGCATAAACACTATCATTTGCATATCTTGAAAACACAGCCTTAGGCCCGTCGCTTCTGGCAAGTGGAACAGGGCTCTCTTCGGGCCAGTTCGGATATGACATGCCTAAAAATGAAAACAGATAATTTTTTCTGCACTGAAGAAGTGACACTTCATGTGCAGACAGAAAAGCCCTTGACAAAACTCCCTTCGCAAATTGCAAGCCAATTGACAAAGATTTGACGCCTGCCTTCCCCACGAAACTCAAAAGCTGTTTTTTTCCAAGCAACTGGGACCCAAAGCTAAAATCCCACAAAAACAGGTACTTTGATGCAGCCTGCTAATACAGGGGTCCCCAACCTCCGGTCCGTGGACCGGTCCCGGTCCGTGGCATACCAGCAACCGGGCCGCACAAACAAGCAAACCGCAAGAATGCAGGCAGCACACAAAACCACGCACCCTCTGGTCCGTGGGAAAACCTCTCTCCACGGAAGCGGTCCCTGGTGCCCAAAAGGTTGGAGACCTCTGTGCTAATAGGTTTGCTCTCAAGAAGCTCTTTTTTTAAAAATAATAATAATAATTGAGAATGTTATATTTTTAGGGGAATGCAAAAACACGGGGGGGGGGGTCTTGCAGTGGTGCAAGCAAGAATCAATCTCACAATTTGAAAAAAAGTCTTAACATCTCTGCGTGCATGTTTCAATCAAAGACACTGATCATCTCGCTGGGAGAGGAAAGAAGGAAGGTTTATTTGCGTGTTTGTGTGTGCGTATGTATGTGTTTACATGCACACACAAAAGTGTATATAAATGTGTTTGAGAGCCCGGAACATACTCCATAAGGCCACTGAAAATGTATATAAACAAAAACTTGATTCTGGCTTTTTGTAAATGGCTTAATTTGATGTTTGTCTTTTTTAAAAAAAAAAAAACTGTAAGGTTCTCGTAGTTCTTTTGGAATTAGGCAGGGTAATTATAATACCCAGCCCAATTCCTTGATCCCACTAAGTCAAGTATCTTATATGGAATTCTAATCCTGACCATTGAAAAGTTCCCACCCATTTCCCAAAAAAATCCTGGATTACAAAAACGGGATTAACAAGGCATAAAAATTATTTAAGTGCCTGGCTAGGAATTTGAGAATTGGGGCTCCGGGATTAAGCACCTCAACATGACAAATAAATTGAAAGGCATGGCTTGAATTAAAGTCATTTCAAGGCATTGATGGCACGTGCAACGTTTAATTAGGAGATCAAAACGTAGGAGTTTTGGCAAGATCTGTCTTTACTGTCCATCTCACCAACACAATATCAAAGCACATTCCTTCTAAGACACTTGAAACCACATTCAAAACAGGGCGTAGAGGCCAACATTTTCGTGGGGGAAAAAAAAACACCCCAAAGCATGTGAAAACAGCAATGGTTGTTTTCAATGGGATCCTCAACAATTCTCTATCCAGCAGTGGTGACTTTCCTACAGTTTCGGCTGAGTCTTTCAGCTCTCCCCCCAGACGCATCTGAAAAAACTGTTAGTAAGTAGGCATGACTGTACAGAAACATAATATACACAGGAAACATTTCTGATTGTGGATTCCATTCAAATCCAAACAAGAGAGGACTCTAAACAGTGAAAAAGAGAGGATCAACTCAAACTTTGAAGCAGTTAAAAATGGTGATGCTGAAAAAAAGAGACCACCTCAAAAAAAGGGGGGGTTAAATGCTCCAACCCCAGACATACACAAAAGGATAATTTTAATTGGATAATGGCCAGCATATATATTTTTTTAAACTTCCCCTGAGAATGCTTCCCTGATTCTAGGATTTTTGTCTTTCTTAGACTATATATATCTATATCCAGATACAGATATATATATATAAGCATAGGTTGCCCGTTTTCACATCCTTTATATATATATATATATATTGTAATTGTTGAACACAGCTGTAAAAGACGGCTAAAGGAACAGCCTATGGCAGAGCTTGACAGTGACAAATGAAAAAAGGGGGGGAAGGGGGAAAGAGGGAGTTAAAAACTTGCCAAGCAAAGTTTGATTGGTTTCATACCAACAAATAATATTCGATAGGGCATTACAGAGAGTGGTGAGGACAGTGCAGAAGAAAAAATCAGTTTTGGGGAGGTTGTGTGTGGCTAGAATCTAGTAAATGCATGTGAAATTCTACCATAGAGTTTGTTTTCAATCCATGTGGAAGGAAGAGTTCGAGGGAGGGGGACGTTATTACAATCCACGAGGGGCGTCTCTTCTTCCGAGAGTCCATCATCGTAAAGCAGAGAATCCGAAGGAGTGGAAGCGGCTAGATCTAAATAGTCCTAAGCCGATAAAAGAGAAAGAAGGTTAAGGACAGAGGCCTTGGGCTCTCCGTTCAAGTCAAGTTGATCATCCTGAAGGACCAAAACTGTTAGGCACAAGCAACCAGATCCACATGGGTAGAGTTCGAGCTAACTACTTTATTGCATTCAGCCTATAATACAGGAATCTCCCTAGACCAGGGGTAGGCAACCTCGGCTCTTTTATGACTCATGGACCTCAACTCCCAGAATTCTGGGAGTTGAAGTCCATGAGTCATAAAAGAGCCGAGGTTGCCTACCCCTGCCCTAGACTGCTTGCCTTCCCTTGAGATGCTGGTTCAGGAATTCTGGGAGTTGAAGTCCATGAGTCATAAAAGAGCCGAGGTTGCCTACCCCTGCTCTAGACTGCTTGCCTTCCCTTGAGATGTTGGCTCAGGAATTCTGGGAGTTGAAGTCCATGAGTCATAAAAGAGCCGAGGTTGCCTACCCCTGGGATAGACAAAGGTTCCGTGGAAGTTCTATAGATCTCTTGTAGCGATTCAAAAGCTAATTCCCTGCTTTTGCTCCCTTCCTTGCCTTGTTGTACATTTTCCAGTAAAAACTCAATTTGGATGGCAATAGCACTGAGACTTATATACCGCTTCACAGTGCTTTACAGCCCTCGCTAAGCAGTTTACAGAGTCAGCCTCTTGCCCCCAGCAATCTGGGTCCTCATTTTACCGACCTCGGAAGGACGGAGGCTGAATCAATAGCAGTAACACTTAAGATTTATATACCGCTTCATAGTGCTTTACAGCCCTCTCTAAGCAGTTTACAGAGTCAGCCTCTTGCCCCCAGCAATCTGGGTCCTCATTTTTCCGATCTCGGAAGGATGGAAGGCTGAATCAATAGAAGTAGCACTTAAGATTTAAGCCAAACCCAAGTCCCGCAGCCGTTGTTCGTATGTTTTAGTCTCCAGGCCTTTCATCATCTTAGTTGCTCTTCTCTGAACTTTTTCCAAACTCTCAACATCTTTTTTTGTGCTATGGTGACCAAAATTGGCTGCGGTATTCCAGGTGTGGCCTCACTAGGGTTTTATGAAACGGTACTAATACTTTGTGTGATCTTGATTCTAAATCAGTAAGCTAGCAGAACAGAAGAATAAAGATGTTCTATTTCATCATACAGGGTTTACTTTATATGTGAAGATTAGATTACCTTCCTGAGCCCTGCCAGAGGTGTATGTTCCTGTGTATCAATTTTTTCTGGATTGACATTTTGTTTACATCAACCACCAGAAGGCAATATGGGAGCATCTTTGTTCTATACAGGGAACATTTCCATCTCACTTGTTAAGTGAGTTTTGCCCCATTTCATGACCATTCTTGACACCGTTGTCACTGCAGTGGATGTTAGGAATCCCAGTTGCTAAGGGAATCTCACGATCTCATTGACTTTGCTCGTGAAAAAGGTTGCAAAAGGGGATCGTGTGATCTTGGGATGCTGCAACAATCATAAATATGAACCAGTCGACAAGCATCTGAATTTTGATCACGTGATCATGGGGATACACATCATGAAGCTGTGTGTGTGTGTGTGTGTGTGTGTGTGTGTGTGTGTGTTTGCTGAGGTTTCGCGGGTATTTGTATGGGTTATTCGGGTTTTTTCCCGCGTAAAATTGGAAGTGTCTTGACGATGTTTCGACGAAGTCCCATTCGTCATCTTCAGGCTGGTGTTTTCAGCTTTGTGCTTCGAGGAGCAATGTATGTATGTATATATATATATATATATAAATATATATGTCTAAATGCTATTGCTAGTACTATTGCTAGTACTATTGCTAGTACTATGAGGCCTGCATTTTGAAACACCTGTTGAGCTGAATTCACATTTCCTACTTCCAAAAGTTGCCCAGAGAGATGCTACATTACACAAAATGCACTTTGTTTTGTGGACTTGCGTTTCTAGTTACGCTTTCTTTAAACTTTCTTTAAACTTCTGATATTTGATTACTATAATCAGAGCCACCCCATGTGTGTGTGTGTGTGTGCGTGTGTGTACACAAAAGCGTTTTGCACTCTGCGCTTCCATCTGACCTCAAATGTTTTCTTAATCTAAATAACTGCAGCACATCTGATCACATGTGATTAGCTGGGCTTTTCTCCCCCTGCCTGCCTTTCCAATATCCTTTCTTTAAATCTCTGCCGGAGCAAAGTTCTCTTCAAATGGGACTAAAGGGGGATAAAAGACGCTGCAGAGAGATTGACCCATCGCCCCCACCCTCCACTCATAGCTACGTAGCGGTAATGAATTTTGTTAAGGTCCTTACCCGGCTTTTCACCATCAGTTTTTCTAATTCTTTGCTGATCTCAGAAAATGTTGGCCTCTTATCTGGTTCCTGTTTCCAGCAGCGAAGCATCAAATTGTACCTTTAAGAAAACAAGCCAACTTTGAAACTTCAAAGGAGGAAGAAGAGGACGACAGGGTGAGATCCTTGGTGCTCTCTGAGCTTGGCTGTTTACTTGCAGACATTTCATGACTCCATTAGGTAACATCATCAGGGTTAGAAGGGAGTGGGGTTTGCAGGGAGGAGGAGGAGGAGGAGGAAAGGAGGGAGGGAGGGAGGGAGGGAGGGAGGGAGGGAGGAAGGAAGGAAGGAAGGAAGGAAGGAAGGAAGGAAGGAAGGAAGGAAGGAAGGAAGGAAGGAAGGAAGGAAGGTAGGTAAAAATTGTGGGGTCCTTGGTGTTCTCTGAGCTTGGTTGTTTACTTGCAGACATTTCATTACTCCATTAGGTAACATCATCAGGGTTAGAAGGGAGTGGGGTTTGCAGGGAGGAGGAGGAGGAAAGGAGGGAGGAGGGAGGAGGGAGGGAGGAGGGAGGGAGGGAGGGAGGAAGGAAGGAAGAAGGAGGAGGAAGGAAGGGAAGGAAGGAAGGAAGGAAGGTAAAAATTGTGGGGTCCTTGGTGTTCTCTGAGCTTGTTGTTTACTTGCAGACATTTCATTACTCCATTAGGTAACATCATCAGGGTTAGAAGGGAGTGGGGAGGGAGGGAGGGAGGGAGGGAGGGAGGGAGGAAGGAAGGAAGGAAGGAAGGAAGGAAAGAAGGAAGGAAGGAAGGTAAAAATTGTGGGGTCCTTGGTGTTCTCTGAGCTTGGTTGTTTACTTGCAGACATTTCATTACTCCATTAGGTAACATCATCAGGGTTAGAAGGGAGTGGGGAGGGAGGGAGGGAGGGAGGGAGGGAGGGAGGGAGGGAGGAAGGAAGGAAGAAGGAAGGAAGGAAGGAAGGAAGGAAGGGTAAAAATTGTGGGTCCTTGGTGTTCTCTGAGCTTGGTTGTTTTCTTGCAGACATTTCATTACTCCATTAGGTAACATCATCAGGGCTAGAAGGGAGTGGGGTTTGCAAGGAGGAGGAGGAGGAAAGGAGGGAGGGAGGGAGGGAGGAGGGAGGAAGGAAGGAAGGAAGGAAGGAAGGAAGGAAGGAAGGAAAGGAAGGAAGGAAGGAAGGAAGGAAGGAAGGTAAAAATTGTGGGGTCCTTGGTGTTCTCTGAGCTTGGTTGTTTTCTTGCAGATGTTTCATTACTCCATTAGGTAACATCATCAGGGTTAGAAGGGAGTGGGGTTTGCGAGGAGGAAGAGGAGGAAAGGAGGGAGGGAGGGAGGGAGGGAGGGAGGGAGGGAGGAAGGAAGGAAGGAAGGAAGGAAGGAAGGAAGGAAGGAAGGAAGGAAGGAAGGAAGGAAGGAAGGAAGGAAGGTAAAAATTGTGGGGTCCTTGGTGTTCTCTGAGCTTGGTTGTTTTCTTGCAGATGTTTCATTACCCAACTAGGTAACATCATCAGTGCAAGTAAGGGATGGGGTTTGCAAGGACAAGGAGGAGAAGGGAAAGGAGGAGGAGAATAATTCCCGTATTCCAATATTTCTTTTTTGTTGGTTTTGTGAAGGTGGTCTTGGAATCTAGTGGAATGTGGCACCCTGTGAAATAATGTATCAGAAGTCTCTATCCCAGTGATGGCGAACCTTTTAGAGACCAAGTGCCCAAACTGCAACCCAAAACCCACTTATGCATTGTCGGGTACCAGGTGGGTGTGGCCCATTGGCTGGGCGTGGCTGCGCTGGTAACAGCAGACTGGGTGGGACTAAAAAGTTCAATCAATCAATTCCAACTTTGCAAGATCTTTTTTTTTCCCACGAGAAAATTGACTGATTGATTGAACCTTTTTTTTTTTTTTTTGCACAAGACAGCGGAGGCCTAAAGCAAAAAGGTTTTATAAAACCCAGCTGAAGGCCTAGTACTGGGGCAACGGCGCGCATGTCCACAGAGAGGCACGAATGAAAATACATTTTTTTTTTTAAAAAAAAAAAGAAGGACTTCCTTCGTTCTGTTCTCATCTCAGACAAGGTCTACACTTTCGCTTGGAGAAAGCAAAAGGACTCGGTACTTGCTGGTGGTCTTCAAGAAAAGTCCAAGGGAGATTCAAAGCATTTTTGTTTTCCTGCAAAAGGGCCTCATCTGTGCTACAAAATGGCCATTTCTCTACCTCTTTGCTGTCAACCTAATGTTTCTCTGAATTTTATAGTCCAGATGTGGTAGAAGCAATAGCAATAGCAAGCCCAGGTTCTCCCTGAAGAGGAGACTAAGTAATTATCAAGAATGAAACTTTGGCAGCTACGTACCTCTTCATTTCAACTTTCCGTTAGAGTAAGAGGAGGGGAGGTGTTGCTTTAGAATGGCTTAGAGGGAGAAACGAAACTTCTATGATTCCGCTGAAGACTTTGAGCCTGAAACCTCTCCAAGGACACTGCAGCGGGTGTGGAGAGGAAGCAGACAGTTCCCATAACACAGTGAAATTGTTTACATGGAGTACATGAGAGGTTGGGCATTTTGGCTGGAGAAATTATTATTTAATTCTATGAACTGGTGTCTGGCAACCTCAGAGTTAGTTTTGCTTTGGCATTACCATGCCATGTATTCAATGAACAGTAAGATTTTGGGGAACAGAATGAACCTGGAGTTTTATTTGGATTCTGGAGCTGGATGTTGACAGCAATGTAATTATGATTCAGGGACTGAAGGCCTAGACCAGTGTTCACCAAGGATGAAATATGCAAAGCTGTGGACCCGAACCATTAGAATTTTCATCCATGACCATCTTCAACAATGGCATTAAAGTTCATCTTTAGAACTACCAACAGAAGATAATGTTTGAAGCTCGGGATTGAACGACAGATTTCTAAGCTTGATTGTTTTCCTGCAGACATTCCACTACCAAACCAGGTAACATCTTCAGTGCACATCTTCAACTACTGTTCTGAAGGTATTACGTAGCTGGGTAACAAAATGTCTGCAAGGGAACAATCAAGCTTAGAGAACACCAAGGACTCTATGTCTAGAAGTTGCTAAGATTAGAAACTGAATTAGGGCAAACCAGGGAATTGTCCTTCCTGTGATACATCAGACTTCGTGCCTTTTGGGGATTATGTTTAAAAGTTTAAAGGCTGTCCATGTTTGAGTTTCTACTCAACAGTGAGGAAAATAACTCCTAGATAGTTCAGGCACACTTATATTGCATCCATAAATCAGCAGAAGCCAAGGAACTGATTGATGACCTTGGCAGATGATAATAAAATAGAGTAGAGTAGAGTAGAGTAGAGTAGAGTAGAGTAGAGTAGAGTAGAGTAGAGTAGAGTAGAGTAGGGTAGGGTAGGGTAGGGTAGGGTAGAGTAGGGTAGGGTAGGGTAGGGTAGGGTAGGGTAGAGTTAGAGTAGGAATGGAGTGGAGTGGAGTAGAGTAGAGTAGAGTAAAGAAGGGTAGGGTAGGGTAGGTTATAGTTATAGTTATAGTTAGAGTAGGAATGGAGTGGAGTGGAGTGGAGTGGAGTAGAGTAGAGTAGAGTAGAGTAGAGTAGGGTGAGTTAGAGTTAGAGTTAGAGTAGGAATGGAATAGAATAGAATAGAATAGAATAGAATAGAATAGAATAGAATAGAATAGAATAACAAAGTTGGAAGGGACCTTGTAGGTCATCCAGTCCAACCCCCTTGCCCAAGCAGGAGACCCTACACCATTTCTGACAGATGGCAATCTAATCTCATCTTGAAAGCTTTCAGGGATGAATCTCCCACAACTTCTGAAGGCAAGCTGTTCCACTGGTTGATTGTTCTCATTGTCAGACAATTTCTCCTTATTTCTAGCTTGAATCTCTCCTTGATCAGTTTCCATCCATTGTTCCATGTCTGGCCTTTGGCTGCTTTGGAAAATAGGTTGACCCCCCTCCTCTCTGTGGCAGCCCCTCAAATATTGGAAGACTGCTATCATGTCTCCCCTGGTCCTCCTCTTCACTAGACTAGCCATGCCCAGTTCCTGCAACCGTTCTTCGTATATTTTAGCCTCCAGTCCCCTGATCGTCTTTGATGTCTTGATGATGAACTGGAGAGCCTCTTCTCTCCTTTGAACCCGTTAGGGATGATTATGTTTATCCAACATGCAGAAATCTAAGAGGAAATAGCTAAATGTAATCCTTCATGGGGTGGATATAATCCTTCTGATTAGCAACGTTGGTTATCTGAGGTTACTTACATCTCCTCACTGCAGTTTTCCGGCTTTTCCATTCTATAACCTGTTTTTAAGAGGTTAAAGAGCCTCTCCGGAGCAATTCCTGGATATGGGTTCCCTCCGAGGGTCACAATTTCCCATAACAGCACTCCAAACGACCACCTAAGGGGGAAAAGAATTAAAAAAAAAAAAAAATCGGAAGCAGTTAGTTCTGCAGATCAAAGAAACCTTCCACAATAGCCCAAAACAGTGTTTCTCAACCTTGACCATTTTAAGGCATGTGGACTTCAACTCCCAGAATTCCACAGCCAGCATTGCTGGCTGTGGAATTCTGGGAGTTGAAGTCCACATGCCTTAAAATGGTCAAGGTTGAGAAACACTGCCCCAAAAGAACCAAGGGCAATCCCATCGGAAGAGGAATTCTATTTTTCTTTGCCAGGTTTCCAAACTTTCTTTCTTTCTTACAGTCAAACGTCGAGGGGCAACGGACAGGCTGTATCAAAATCACTCTCTCTCTCTCTCTCTCTCTCTCTCTCTCTCACACACACACACACACACAAAAAAAAAACAAAACCCAAGAGGTTTTTTTTTTGCAAGTGTGCTGCATTGTTTTAGAATCACAAACATAAGAAGCTTTAAAAAAAAAGGTATATAACTTTGGCTCTCAGATAAACTTAGATTTGGTCATTACCCAGAGGATAGCATATGGGGTCCTTGGTGCCCTCTGAGCTTGGGGGCTTTCTTGCAGATGTTTCATTACCCAACTAGGTGAAATCATCAGTCCTAGAAGGGAGTGCGGAAAGAGGAGGAGGAGGAGGAGGAGGAGGAGGAAGAGAAGAAGAAGAAGAAGAGGAGGAGGAGGAGAAGAAGAACAAGGAGAAGGAGAAGAAGAAGAAGAAGAAGAAGAAGAAGAAGAAGAAGAAGAAGAAGAAGAAGAAGAAGAAGAAGAAGAAGAAGAAGAAGAAGAAGAAGTAGAAGAAGAAGAAGAAGAAGAAGAAGAAGAAGAAGAAGAAGAAGAAGAAGAAGAAGAAGAAGAAGAAGAAGAAGAAGAAGAAGAAGAAGAAGAAGAATAAGAAGAAGAAGAAGAAGAAGAAGAATAAGAAGAAGAAGAAGAAGAAGAAGAAGAAGAAGAAGAAGAAGAAGAAGAAGAAGAAGAAGAAGAAGAAGAAGAAGAAGAAGAAGAAGAAGAAGAAGAAGAAGAAGAAGAGAAGGAGGAAGAGGGGGAGGAGGAGGAGGAGGAGGACAACGACTGTGGGGGTCATCAGTCCAGTCCAAGCTGGGAATAAACAAAATGGAGACTGCCTTAGAAAGAAGGGTGTGGTTTATTGAAGAGGAGAGATGGCTCTGGGAAAGCTGACCACATGTTGCTGGGAGTGGTTGGTTTTTATACCTTCTTGGGCTTTTTGTGTTTGGAGTTGTTCCTGTGGCATGAACTTTGACCTTGATTTTTGTCTAAGTGAGTTTGCACAGAATGGCCTAACTAAATTTTGCTTTGTGTTGCTTCATGTACTGCAGAGAAAGCTGATGGCTCTTGAATGCAGAATTCCATAAGTGAGAAGTAGTATAATATAGTTACAAAGCAATTTATTAGCTGTGACAACGAATTTAAAAGTGGTTTTCGGGCTAGTTCTGCTCTGTTATAAAAGTCCAGGAATATAGAAGCTTAAAGGATTTTCCCCCCAAAAAACTACTTTGTAACACGTAACATTTAAAGTAAGTCAATTTTGTGCCAAAACCTGGGGGAAAACAAATCGTCAGGGGGATGAGAAGAGACACTGTTATTTGTGTGTTAATTATACAAACACAGAGAAATGCTTCTCAAGCAGTTTGGATACAAAAGAAACTCTGTAGTAATGGGGTGATTAGAATCAATTGTTATCTCTGAATGATATATTTAGTTAAGCCTTTCTTCCAAGGTGCTAAATAATGGGAATTTATGCCAGGATTCGTAAACATGCAGATAGACCTGAGATGAGCATAGTGATTTAAAATTCCCTAAGATATGAAATTACTCCCTAAATTAATAATCCGTCTCTGTGTTACCACTGGACGTAATAGACACTCTGAATTTTGATCCTTGGAGAAAGTTGAAAACTTCCCAAGAGCAATTATATGATCTTCCTGCTTTTTTTTCCAGCATTTCAACAGTATTTCTCTTGCTTATGTTGGCAAAATAGGACAAGTGTGAAAGACTATCAGGTTTAGTGTGTGTACTATTCTAAGGTCAAGTATAGTCATTAATATGCCATTTATGGACCTGCCCTGTATTCATTTCCTTACAACTTTAACTGTTTAATAATGTCCATCTGGGAAAAGCCAACAGCCTGGAGACCAAATATCGTCTCCAGAGAAACAGTCAAGATGTTATCAATATTTTGCTCAATCTCAATCTTCAGAGTTTGGTAGATAATTTATCATGATTCTCATATCATGTCAGAAATCACACTTCAACCTGGTCTAGAATCTCATTATCACAGATAAGACAAAAACAGCTGCACAGAAGCTTGGTTCTACCAATGGTTTGCTGGATCAGATCTAAGGTTAATCTAGTGCAGCTAAAGAACTTCATAATTGCAAATCGTAAATGGATCTATTCTTTGTCCAGGATCAATCTTCTTCCTCCATGGGTGCAAATTCTACAGAAGCTCACAAACATTTACTTTTAAAAAAAAATGCATGGGATTTATCAGTAGAAGTACTTGGTATGTCTAGTTTAATGAAAATAAGAACAGGGGGTGACATGGTAGCAGTGTTCCAATATCTAAGGGGCTATCGCAAAGAAGAGGGGGTCAAATTATTCTTCAAAGCACCAGAAGACAGGACAAGAAGCAATGGATGGAAACTAATCAAGGAGAGAACCAACCTAGAAGGAGAAATGTCCTGATAGTTAGAACAATTAATGAATGGAACAACTTGCCTTCAGAAAGTGTGGGTGCTCCATCTCTGGAGGTTTTCAAGAGGAGACTGGACAATCATTTGTCTGAAATGGTTGTCCAATCTTCTCTTGAAAACCTCCAGAGAGCAAGGACTTGAAGACCACCCCTTCCAACGCTGTTATTTTGGTGCTAACGGATAACCGTTCTAAATAATCAATTTTATTTGATACCCTTTACCACTGTTTATCCGCTGTTTGCTGCTAGACATACAGCAATACGGACATGCTAACATTTGCTGGAGACATGTCTCCAAATAAATGCTTATTAAATAACCCAGTTAGGCTAAATTTGTGACGCTTCTGTCATCACTTTGGGATTTTTGTTTTCTTTTGGGCTGCTTCAGTTAAAGTTGGCTACTGCCCAACGGTCTGTGGTTTCTTCATCCCCCGCTTATTGAAATATGAGCACAACTATTCACTGCTCAACATCCTTCATTTTTTTTTTCTTTTGTCTGAGAATACTCCGTAACTCTGATGATGTATTGTGATACCCAAGAACCAGCCGTTGGTTTTCTTTAGCACTCAAAGTAAACTCCAACCCTGTCTTCCTATTTACACAATTCCCCTAACCTCACTGCAGTTGACTCAAAGTGGGCTCCTGAAGCTCATGAGATCCTCCACAAAGATGTTATGGACTCTCAAAGAAATTGGGAGAGGGAAAAAACTCAAGAGTTGTAGCTAGCAAACAGAAATAGATAAATTTTGTAACTTCTGAAAGAAGAACTTGTCATGGAAAGGTATTTTTTTCCCATGAGATATGTCAGGCACGAAGGCCGTACATTATGATGCAGTTAAGAAGATTTATTGTTCAATTGATTTCCTTATAAAAATTAAATCAAATGTAAAGGTAATTAAGATATAAGCTAGAAATCTATTGATGAATGTAATAAATATGTTTTTACTTAGAGGTAATAATAAAAATTATTAGCCTAAATATGAGATAGTAGATATTAAGAGAAAAAAAGGGGAAGTATTAAATGTTGAAATAAGAGAAATTTTGAGATATTTGGAAGTTACCAGAAAATAAGAATATTATACTGTATTATTAATCGGTTGATGTAAGATGGTGAGAATTCAAATAGATAAGACGTGTATCCTGAACATTAGATCTTGTGATGAATTGTGATAAAGGGAATTGGGGTTATTTAAAACTTGGAAATTATAAATATTAAATGTTAAATTTAAATATTAATGGGAAACTAAACATTGGGAAAAACTAACCAGGACATTGATTGTCTAAAAAGATTGAACGTTAAAATAACTAGGATACGTATAAACTAAAAATTATTGATAAATGTAAGAAAGTTATTTTTGTTTAATTGATATAATAAGAATTGTATTAAATTACATATGAGACAGTAAATACCAAGGGGAAGAGAGAGGAAATATTTAATGTAATAGTTTGAGATCTGTACTAAAGAGATTTGTGTGTTATCGAATTATTAATCAACTCAGCCGCCACATTGCTTTTCAAATATTTAAAAGTAAAACTAAAAAGAATCAATAAAATTTTCTTTAAAAAAAAAGATTTATTGTTCAAGTCCACGCCCAAGAATCTAGCCACCTAACATTCCATACTAAATTGGCACTAGATAAATCAATGGAATTCATGAGGGTTTGGACTGAGACCATTTGTGGGAACGCAAAGATTCTAGACTTATGACTTGCTTAACTCCACCCACCTGCTCGTCACCTTCGATAGCTGCTCAAATGAGTGAATGTAGTAAAGAGCAGAGCTTTTTTATTTTACAAAAAAAGGAAAAAAAAGAACAAGAGAGAATAACAGAATAACAGTTAGAAGGGACCTTTGGTCAACCCCCTGCCCAGACAGGATAGCCTAAACCAGGGGTAGGCAACCTTGGTTCTTTTATGACTTGTGGACTTCAACTCCCAGAATTCCTAAGCCAAGGATGATCAGGGGACTGGAGGCTAAAATATATAAAGAATGGTTGCAGGAATTGGGTATGTCTAGTTTAATGAAGAGAAGGACTGTGGGTGACATGACAGTGGTGTTCCAATATCTCAAGGGTTGCCACAAAGAAGAGGGAGTCAACCTGTTCTCTCCAAAGCACCTGAAGGCAGGAGAAGAAGCAACGGATGGAAACGAATCAAGGAGAGAAGCAAACTAGAACTAAGCAGAAATTTCCTGACAGTTAGAACAATTAACCAGTGGAACGACCTGCCTCCAGAAGTTGTGAATGCTCCAACACTGGAACTTTTTAAAAAAGAGATTGGACAACCATTTGTCTGAAACGATCTAGGGTTGGACTGGAAGACCTCCAAGATCCCTTCCAAATCTGTTATAAGTTGAAAAAAAAAATCAGTACAAAATAATAGTGAATGGCCTATAGGTCAGCATTCTTTCACCGCTGCCATTTTCTGTAAGACAAATAGGGAATAACACAGGTTCCCGGGAGACAGTCTAATGACCTCATATAAGCATGACATCATAATATAAAAACCACATGAATTGGGTCATTTGCCCAATTCGGAAGATGGGGCAAATATTCATCATCTGCAAATGTTCATGTAATGACACAACTGACACATTTTGAGCCATTTAGGCAATGATGCCCTAAGGATCCTGCATTGTCTCTCTTGCAACAAACACCATCGGCACCCATGGAGCTACTGCTCGGATGTAAAGATACCCATTTATGATAGCACAACTCAACTTACACATCACTCTGGGTTGTGTAGATGTGATCGAAGAGAGATTCTATTGCCATCCATTTTACAGGTATTCGACCCTATGGGAAGAGAAATATATATATATATTACTTATTGCAAGCACATCTGAACGTTACTTCTAAAGCCACACTCGGCAAACAGTTCTTTTTGTAAAATCTCTCGCTTTCAGCTTCTCTCGTTGCTTTTTCTCAGAGATGAGTTAGTTGAGGATGGATTTTCCAGCTGCACTAACCGGGCCCAGCCAAGATTCATATGCTATGATATGCAGAATTACCTTGCTTACATAGTTACAAGAATTGATAGAAACAGAATAACAAGACTTAGAAGGGACCTTGGAGGTCTTCTAGTCTAACCCCCTGCTCAAGCAGGAGACCCATTCCGGACAAACGGCTGTCCAGTCTCTTCTTAAAAACCTCCAGTGATGGAGCACCCACAACCTCTGGAATTGTAATACGTTTTCTTTTTTAAAAAATTCCCATTGCTGTTGAAACACATAGCCAGCATGGACTAGTGGTTAAGCCACCAATTTAGAAACCAGGAGATTCTGAGTTCAAGTCCCACCTTAGCCATGAAACCAGCTGGGTGACCTTGGGCCAGTGCTTCTCTCTCTCAGCCCAAATCACTAGAATAACCTTTTTGGAATGTTATACAGATAGTCCTGGACTTACAATCTTTCACTGAGTAACCAAAATTACAACGGTGCTGAAAAAAGTGATGAGGACTGTTTTTCTTACTTACAACCGTTGCAGCATCCCCATGTCGCAGGATCAAAATTCATACATTTGGCAACTGACTCACATTTATGGCGATCGCAATGTCCCAGGGGTCACGTGGTTCCCGTTTGCGACCGCCTGACAAAGTCAGTGGGGAAGCCTGATTCAACAACCGCATTATTAACTTAACCACTGCAGCGATGGACTTAGCAGCTGTGACTGAGAAACGTTGTAAAATGGAGCACAACTCCGTTAGCCTCTGTCTTTGCTTTTTTTAAGTCCCGATATTTCCTAGTAATCGTTTACAGACCCTTCAAATCAAGAGATCGCTGTGGGAATAAATAGTTGCCTTCCTCACCTTGCTCCTCTTGACGTAAGAGTCCTCTTCGTAAACGTCTCGAGACAAACCAAAATCAGAAATCTTCATTTTACGCCCTTCTGCTACTAAGACGTTCCTGGCTGCTAAATCACGGTGAACAAGCTTGGGAGAAACAAACGAAACGAAACAAGAAATTAACGTTTCTCATTGACGTGAATAAAGGTTAAAGGTCATAGAAAGAGGGTGGGCCTGAAGAGGAACCCCCCCCTACCTTCATTTCAGCAAGGTATTGCATGCCACGGGAGATCTGCCACGCAAAGGAGATCAAGTCACCCATAGTCAGGGCCCGCTCGTCTGGGTTGTCCAAGTAGCTAGAATTTCTGTTTGTATCGTTTCCCACGTAGCTGGGTCCCACTTTCCGGCTTTCTCTTAAGAAACTCCGCAAGGAGCCGTATTTAGCGTACTCCACTATTAAGTATAAAGGCCCTGAGGTCAAACAAAGGGAGGGGGGAGTCAGAAGTTCAATCAACTTGCCCTCAACAGATACGCCTGCAAAACAAATTTGGCACGGTCTTTGTTTTTATTTTTTTTAGTTTGCACCAAGAGAAGTTCATTTTAGTTTCACGCATCGCACGTTCAGAAGTGTTACCCTCTCCGTTGGGGGATTAGTCTCGTATATGAGACTTTAGGAATTCAGATTTACTTTCTTTTTCTTTTCTTTCTTTCCTTCCTTCCTTCCCTTCCTTCCTTCCTTCCATCCTCCCTCCCTCTCTCCCTCCTTCTTTCCTTCCTCCCTCCCTTCCTTCCTCCCTCTTCCATTCCTTCCTCCCTCCCTCTCACTCCTTCCTTCTTTCCTTTCTCTCTCCTTCTTCTATTCTTTCCTTCGTTCCTTCCTCCTCCCTCCCTCCTTCTTTCCTTCCATCCTCCCTCCTTCCTTCCCTCCCTCCTTCAATACAATAGGCAATTGCCTAAGAGTATGCGTGGCTTAGAAATGGAGAATCTGAGGCCACTGTCGTGACAGCCATTTAAATAGTCCAGATAAATAAGGCCACGCTATCCACAGTTAATGGGGGTGGTTTTTCTGAGGCAAACCTAGTTTTCAAACTCTGAATGTTTTGTTCAGGAGTTTTAAAAGAGCACAATTGCCCAGGATCGTTTCTCTTTAAACGGCTAGACCATGTCTCTCAACTTTTTTCCACGGATACCCTCCACTGGTGAGAGCAATCAACCAACAGAATGAAGTTGTGGATGTTCCATCACTGGAGGTTTTCAAGACGAGATTGGACCGCCATTTGTCTGAAATGATGTAGGATCTCCTGCCTGAGCAGGGGGTTGGACTAGAAGACCTCCAAGGTCCCTTTCCAACTCTGTTGTTCTATCTTCTATTGTGACTCTTCCCTCATTCCTCCACTTCTACTCTTGCTCATCCTTTTACCCTGGAAAGCCAATTCTCCAGGAATCAAATCCAAATACGTACCGTCCTGGCTACAAGCACCGTACAGCCTGATGACGTGAGGATGGTTCACCTGTTTTAAAAGGTTGAACTCCGAATGCAGATCCCGGAGCTCGCTGACGGAAGCATTCTCTGTAGGAACAGAGCAGGAAGAGACACGGTTCTATGACTTGAGGCAGGATTTGGCAATTACACATTCAAATATTATGTAAATAATGGAGCAACGACTCTTCCTTTTCAGGACACCGTGGCAAATGCAAGCTATTTTTTTTAATATATATATTAAATGCTATAAACATGCTATGTTAAATGGCTGAGCTGCACGCAGGATCCATCCTGGAGGAAGAGACCCCCCCCCAAGGGCAGTGGCCACCCTCCTGGCAAGGAGAGGCGCACTCCACCTGGGTGCCCCGATTAAACACAAAGAAGGGGGCACTCCTCCGCCTTTAGGTACACCATGTTGGGCGGGCAGAAGAGCGAGCAGGGTTTCAGCTGAAATATCTGGGGATATTCAGGAATATCTGGGAATATCAGCCGGTCATTTGTCTTCTTTCAGAGAGACACTGAGGCCACTTGGAAGTTTAGCTGTGTCCTCAGGGTCACCTGAGTGGTGCAAATGTGCGTGGAAACCTTCCTGGCTACAGCATGTTTTCTGCCCTGGGTCCCTTCCCCGTTGAAGACAGGTGCCAGCTGTTGGGGATGAGTCTGTGTTGTCTGAATCTTAATCTCTTGTGCTTCAGTTTGAGATGTATCTTAAAGAAAGTCACATATAAAAATTCAACGCGGGGTCCTTGGCGTTCTTAGCCTGGTTGTTTTCTTGCAGATGTTTCATTACCAAACTAGGTAACGTCATCAGTGCAACCCTGAGCTACAAATAATGGTAAAAATTCAATATATAATGGAGGTGTGCATGTAATAGCTAACCGATTTTATTTATCTTCCCCCCCTGCCCCTCTACTTTTGAATGATAAATAGAATTATTTTCCCTCTTAAGTGTCTTAAAAGCAAACATGGGTCCCTTCGCTGTTGGAGACTCTCTAAAAGGAGGCAAATGACCAGCTGTCTGCAAGGAGTACAAATCCTTCCATTCCCCACCATCCAGTCAGAGCTGAAGAAGCTTCTGGGATGAGAAGCAAAACGTCTTCAAAGAAAGACAAGGAAGTCCACCTGCCTCCTGAAAAAACATCTTTGGGACAACCAGGACCTGGATGGCTGAGAATCTCCGTAGACATTTACAGATAACTATTAATTCAGCAACCGGGCCAGTCATCCCTGGCAGGTGTTGAGCTGAACAATTCCTGAGCATTACACAATCTTTTAACTGTTATCCGATTGCCAATGAAGGATGACTCACTCACAGTAATTACAAGGGGGAGAGTGCCAACACATTTGGGTGGAAAGTGACACATCCATTTAAACTGTTCCAGGAAAGCTGCATGGCTGATTATATTTATTAGGGGTTAAAGAAGGAATAGGCACAGGGGAATTATACTGTGCAGGGGGGTTTAGGAAGGACAACTTGGAAGAATTGGAAAGCACAACTTTGATTTGGAAAGAAATCAAACTTGTTTAAGCCCAAGAATTGGGATCCACAGACATATTTGCTTCGACTTTAATTTCAAAGTGCGTTCCCATTAAGTAATTTTTTTCTCGCCATGCATATATATACATGATCTCAATTAGACTGTGATGTCTCTCTGTGTCATATAATGTATGTGGATATATGCATAATTCTGTATTTACATATATATTTTTGTCATATTTATATAATGTATATCGGAGGTGGTGACCCTTTGGGAGCTGCATGCAATGAAATTTCATTTTAATGTATGCCGATTAGTGTACATTCAAGGTGACAAAGTTATTATTCTATTCTATTCTATTCTATTCTATTCTATTCTATTCTTCATTCCTCTATTCTATTCTATTCTATTCTATTCTATTCTACTCTATTCTTATTCCATTCCATATTCTATTCTATTCTATTCTATTCTATTCTATTCTATTCTATTCTATTCTATTCTATTCTATTCCATTCCATTCCATTCCATTCCATTCCATTCTATTCTACATTCTATTCTACTCTACTCTACTCTATTCTACTCTACATATTCTATATTCTATATTCTATATTCTATATTCTATATTCTATATTCTATATTCTATTCTATTCTATTCTATTCTATTCTATTCTATTCTATTCTATTCTATTCTATTCTATTCTATTCTATTCTATTCTATTCTATTCTATTCTATTACTTCCAGAAAAAGGGCTTTCTTTTTTCATTCCCTGGGATTCTTCATTGTCAATTTTCAAAGAAAAACAGCCAAAAAAATGACATTTTTCTGGGAATGTTAGATTACACTGGTTTGGCTGCTTCAACCACGGTTTCCAAGAATCTGATTCATCCATGGATAGTGCTGAATTTAATTTTGAAACTCTTCTGGCACTTGAAATCTGACATCGCTTTGGATTTGAGTCCTGTCTAATCTTTTCACGGATGTATTTTCTTCACTGCGAGCTAAAAGGTAAAATTGCAAAAGGTGAAAGAACATAAAAGATAAGAATTTCAGGACAACTGTTCCTGATGTAAAATGATGGTGGAACAGTATTCTCCCCAAAGGGCAACCTGCACAAGTGGCATTTTTTGTTTGAAAGTGGTTTCAAAACTCTGATACTAAATTAAAGAGAAGAGAAAGCAATTCGTTCAAACCAGAACAAATTTTAAAGCTGTTTCTCATTAACTGCTTGGTTATTCGTCAGTTTTCAGAGGATATTTACATTTTTGGATGAAGTCAATATTCCAGTCCCAACATTTTATTTTTGTGTGTGGTGTTCTAACCCTTCAAATCAGTTACAGAAATGATTTGGATAGATTAGAAGATTATTTCCAAGGGTTCCAGAGACTTTGGAGAAAATTCTGATGCATGGAATTTTAAACCAATTGCAAATTTAGAGAAGAGAAGAGAAGAGAAGAGAGGAGAGGAGAGGAGAGGGGAAGAGAAGAGAAGAGAAGAGAAGAGAGGAGAGGAGAGGAGAGAAGACAAGAGAAGAGAAGAGAAGAGAAGAGAAGAGGAAGAGAGGAGAGGAGAAGAGAAGAGAAGAGAGGAGAGGAGAGGAGAGGAGAAAAGAGAAGAGAAGAAAAGAGAAGAGGAAGAGAGGAGAGGAGAGGAGAAGAGAAGAGAAGAGAAGAGAGGAGAGGAGAGGAGAGGAGAGGAGAGGAGAAAAGAGAAGAGAAGAAAAGAGAAGAGGAAGAGAGGAGAGGAGAGGAGAGGAGAAGAGAAGAGAAGAGAAGAGAAGAGAAGAGAAGAGAAGAGGAGAGGAGAGGAGAGGAGAGGAGAGGAGAAAAGAGAAGAGAAGAAAAGAGAAGAGGAAGAGAGGAGAGGAGAGGAGAAGAGAAGAGAAGAGAGGAGAGGAGAGGAGAGGAGAAAAGAGAAGAGAAGAAAAGAGAAGAGGAAGAGAGGAGAGGAGAGGAGAAGAGAAGAGAAGAGAAGAGAAGAGAAGAGGAGAGAAAGAAGAGGAGAGGAGAGACGAGAAGAGAAGAGGAAGAGAGGAGAGGAGAGGAGAGGAGAAGAGAAGAGCTATTTTTATGCCTTTCAGCATGAAATCTTCTCCTTAAACTGACAGGCAGCTAACAAACAGAAGTTCTGAGATGCCTCTATCAAAAGGCAATTTAACTGAGATGCATCAGCAAAGCTAACATTCTGCTATCATGTCCCATAAAATTACTACCATTGATCTGGCACAGAAGACCACAGTAGTGCCCTTATATGGCAGGAATAGCCAGCACCCCAGAAGACAAGCTCAAGATCCAAACAGTTCTTGACAGACTTGAACACTGGGCCCTACCTAACAAAATTAAATTCAACAAAGATAAAAGTAAAATGTTACACTTAGGCAAGAAAAAACAACTAGATACTGTAGGTATAGACTACGTGGAACTTGGCTCAATGCAAGTGGCTGTGAGAGGGATCTTGGAGTCTTAGTGAACAGTCACTTAAATATGAGCCAAAAAAGCCAATGCAGTCCTAGCTTGCATTAAAAGAGGGATACAATCAAGATTGTGTCAAGTTCTAGTACCGCTTTACAAAGCCTTAGTAAGACCAAACTTGGAATAATGCATCCACTTCTGGTCACCACAACATAAAAAAAGATACTAAGACTCTGGAAAGCATGTGGAGAAGAGCAATTAGGATGATTAAAGGCCTGGAGACTAAAACTTATGAATGACAGTTGGCAGGAGTAGAGTTTGTCTAGTGTAATGAAAAGAAGGACAAGGGGTGATAGAAGTCTTCCAATATTTAAGGGGCTCCTTCAAAGATGAGGGGGGTCAAACTATTTTCCAAAACACCAAAAGGCAAGACGAAAAACAATGGATGGAAACTAACCGAGGAGAGAAGTAACCTAGAACTAGGGAGAAATTTCCTAATAGTGAGGATAATTAACCAGTGGAACAGCTTGCATTCAGAAATCGTGGGCGCTCCATCACTGGAGGTTTTTAAGAAGAAGCAAGACAGTCACTTGTCTTAAATGGTATAGGTTCTCCTGCCTGAGCAGGGGGTTGGACTAGAAGACCTCCAAGGTCCCTTCCAACTCTGTTATTCTATTCTATTCTATTCTATTCTATTCTATTCTATTCTATTCTATTCTATTCTATTCTATTCCTTTCCATTCCATTCCATTCCATTCTACAATCTGTCTATTCTATTCTATTCTATTCTATTCTATTCTATTCTATTCTATTCTATTCTATTCTATTCTATTCCTTTCCATTCCATTCCATTCCATTCTACAATCTGTCTATTCTATTCTATTCTATTCTATTCTATTCTATTCTATTCTATTCTATTCTATTCTATTCTATTCTATTCTATTCTACAATCTATTCTATTCTATTCTATTTTATTCTATTTGATTCGATTCAATTCTACAATCGATTCTACAATCTATTCTATTCTATTCTACAATCTATTCTATTCTATTCTATTCTACAATCTATTCTATTCTATTCTATTCTACAATCTATTCTACAATCTATTCTATTCTATTCTATTCTGTTCTGTTCTGTTCTGTTCTGTTCTGTTCTATTCCATTCCATTCCATTCTACAATATGTCTATTCTATTCTATTCTATTCTATTCTATTCTATTCTATTCTATTCTATTTGATTCTATTCTATTCGATTCTACAATCTATTCTATTCAATTCTACAATCTGTTCTATTCTATTCTATTCTATTCTATTCTATTCTATTCTATTCTATTCTATTCTAGGTATACTCTATAATAAGTAGGACAGCTATGGAACAGAAGTAGACAGGGGTTTTTCTTACCAAATGATTCTCAGGAGCTTCCCAAGGAGAACCTACCTTTTAACATTTTGACTGCCACCGTGGTGTAGCCAGCTTTACACTTAAGTCGGAAGGCTGTCGCTTTGACAACTTTGCCAAATTCTCCCTCGCCCAGAGTCTTGCCGAGCACCAGGTTCTTCCGAGGAAATTCCCACTTCGGATCTTCCTACAGAGAAAGGGAAGAGAAGAAAGTCAAGGGAACCAAAACCGAGCAGCGTCATTCTCTCTTTCGAAATTAATATGGCTGCTCCTTGCCGCGGGTCGGTGGACACAGAGAGCTGGGCCTTTCTGTTTGGGCTCCTACACTTGTAGTCTTCAACTTACGACCAAAATCCAAACCTCTCTTAACACAGAATCCTAGGTTGAAAAGGCTCTTGAGTTCAAATCCTGATCAGCCGATCTCTCAGATTTTAGATGGGTTTTTAATCTTTCTGCAAAGTTATTTCCTGGTGGGATCTACCTGGCAGATCTGACAGCAGAACCCCTGCGGTTGCGGTTTCGGGCCTTCTATAAAACCTAGAGAAGGCAAACTTGCTTTGGTAATTGAAGAAGGATTTATAGTCTGAAATGTAATCTGCTACCTAGAGAACTACTCAAATGATTGGATGTTTTCTGAATGTAGGCAGAAGATAGCATTAAAACACCAGAAAGCTGTAATAATAATCATGGTTAGTGATTTTTTTTTAAAAAAAAAATGAGAACCAGGCTATTTTATAAATCCTTCCAGGCCACATGGAAGGATTTATATTCCTTGCAGACAGCTGGTGATTTGCCTTCTTTTAGGGAGACATTGAGGCCACTTGGAGGTTTATCTGTGTCTACCTCAGGGTCACCTGATGGTGCAAATGGATGATGGAGCCTTCATGGCTGCAGGATGTTTTCTGCCCTCCTTTTTGAAGACTCTCTAAGCCAGGGGTCTTCAAACTTGGCCCTTTGATGATTTGTGGACTTCAACTGCCAGAATTCCTCAACCAGGCACGCTAGCTGAGGAATTCTGGGAGTTGAAGTCCCCAAGTCATCAAAGGGCCAAGTTTGAAGACCCCTGCTCTAAAAGAGAATTCAAATGACCAGCTGTCTGCAAGGAGTATAAATCCTTCCATTCCCCACCCTCCAGTCGGAGCTGAAGAAGCTTCTGGGATGAGAAGCGAAACGTCTTCAAAGAAAAACAAGAAAGTCCAATGGCCTCCTGAAAAAAAGCTCCTTGGGACAACCATGAGCTGGAGGATGGAGAATCTCCACAAATACGTGGATCTAATAAATAAAATAAATAATAAACAAACGTTATTGTCATTGTATGTGTACACGGTATACACATACAAGGAAATTTACTTGACACCCAAAGACCAGGTCCCACACACATAATCCCAAACACACTCCCACCCACCACAATTCCCCACCCCTAAAACCACCCAAACATCCACACAACAGACCAAGGAATACCGTCCAACAGTTCACTGATGGTGGCCCTTTAGTTCATTGTTGAGTGTAATTATAGTTCTGGGATAAAAACTATTCAGAAAACAAGTGGTCCGAATTTTAATTGTTCTGTATCTTCTGCCAGAAGGCAACAGTCAAAGAGATTGTAAGCAGGACGGGAAGAATCTCTGAGAATGTTATGCAAGTTCCTCAAATAGCGAGATTCGAAGATGTCCAGGGATAGTAGCTGCAGTCCGATAATATTCTGGGCAGTTTTAATGATTCTCTGTAGAGCAGTGGTTCTCAACCTTTTTAATGCTGTGACCCCCAACCGGTCGTAAGTCAAGGACTTTCCCTGCCCAGGAGCGCCGCGCATGCGTGGTGCCGCCCCCTGCGCCGGCCGATATTCTATTGGCTTTTGAAAGCCAATAGAATTAGACTCTATTCAAGAGAGTCTATTCTATTGGCTTTCAAAAGCCAATAGAATAAAAGGGATTAGCACAGCTAAGAAAAAGGGGGGAAAAATGGCAGACTGCGTTGTTTGGCGACCCCCATGAAATGGTCGTTCAACCCCAAATGGGGTCCCGACCCACAGATTGAGAACCACTGCTGTAGAGCTTTTTTGTCCGTTACACAGCTGCTCCCATACCATGCAAGGATGCCGTATATCAGGACACTCTCAATGGTGCTGTGATAGTAGGACAGAAGTAGATGCTGAGATAGATCTATTATTTATACCAGACTTGGCCAAATTAAGAGGGCTTCCCCCCTCCCAAATGTAGCCTGTGCTGAGACCTTGGAACACGCTATCCACAGTGGTTGCTTGGAAGAGGTCCCAGGTCTACATTTTATAACTGCAGGAAGCTTGACAGTCCTACCCCACAAGACAAGGGGAATTTCACATGTATAAATAGTAGGTGGCAATTATGCTGGAATCTGCCTGAATCCTCTCTGTCTTCTTGGTGCCAGGAGGAAAGGACAAAATGCTGTTTGTAAACACAGTTTTGTGCTGATTTATATAACTTCAAGGGGGAAGGGAGATTCTTTTCAGAAGCCACCTATTCAATCTAGACAATTGCTTTTTTCTGTTCTGGGAAGCTACTGAGAATTAAAAAAAACAAACAAATTAACACACAGGCTTCCATGGAAAACATCTGCTCTTAATATCTAAACACATCACGGAAAGACTCGGGCTTCGAACGCTGGGCTTTTTAAGGTTCTCTCTTTTTCACTTTCTCCGTTCTAATTTGAGTTGCTTACAGTTCTTCTGATTTGCTCCTAAAAACCTTTAATATACAGGTGATGCTCGACTTACGAGCCCCACAGTTCTGTCGCTAAGCGAAGCCGTGGTTACGTTCAGTTCTGCCCCCATTTTACGACCTTTCTTGCAAAAAGGGGATCACACGACCCCAGGACACTGCGACCGTCATAAACAGGAGGCAGTTGCTAGGAGTTTGAATTTTGATCACGTGATCATGGGGATGCTCCAACGGTCATAAGTGTGAAAAATGGTTATGCCTTTTTTTTTTTCTTTGATGATTATACCAGCACGGATGATGTTACCGAGTTTGGGTAATGAAACATCTGCAAGAAAACAAGCAAGCTCAGAGAGCACCCAGGACCTCACAGTTGTCTCCTTCTCCTCCTCCTCCTCCTCCTCCTCCTCCTCCTCCTCCTCCTCCTCCTCCTCCTCCTCCTCCTCCTCCTCCTCGCTAGCACTGATGTTACCTAGTTGGGTAATGAAACATCTACAAGAAAACAAGCAAGCTCAGAGAGCACCAAGGACCCCACAGCCCGCCTTCCTTCCCTCCTCCCTCCCTCCCTCCCTCCCTCCCTCCCTCCCTCCCTCCCTTCCTTCCTTCCTTCCTTCCTTCCTTCCCTTCCTTCCTTCCTTTCTTTCTCTCTCTCTTTCTTCCTTCCTTTCTTCCTTCCTTCCCTTTTTTTCTCTTTCTTTCCCTCCTCCTCCTCCTCCTCCTCCTTGCTAGCACTGATGTTACCTAGTTGGGTAATGAAATATCTACAAGAAAACAAGCAAGCTCAGAGAGAACCAAGGACCCCACAGTCGTCATCCTCCTCCTTCTCCTCCTCCTCCTCTCTCACTCCCTTCTAGTACGGATGATGTTACCCACTTGGGTAATGAAACGTCTGCAAGAAAACAACCAAGCTCAGAGAACACCAAGGACCCCTCATTTCAACCCTGAGCTACAAATATTCGCCTTTTAATGGTCATGCAGTTGTACCACCGACCTCTTGGAAAATAAAAGGAGATTGAGAAGAGGATCAGGTAACAAACCCAAATGCCCAATATAGTCTGGAAATGAAACTGGAGCTAAGTCATTGTGTCTTCACCATTTGGGGGGGGGCTATTTATAGAGCTAAGTATTGTGAAGCCAATAGTTGTGTGTGTGCTCTCTTTCCCTGTGTGTCATTCAAGCCACAAATGGGTGACTATGACAACCAGATTCCAATTTGCTTCTTAAAAACCAAACCAAACCTTGCTTTCATTTAAACAATGACATTTCCCCCCCCCCCCAGCGAAGAACTACATTTGATATATTGTACTGGCACAGTTGTTAACAGCTGCAAGGGGAAATTGCTGGCTGAGGTTGCTAGGGAACATTAAAATAATTGATTGCAGGCTTCAGGAAAAAAAAAACTATTTAACTATAATCTAATTGCTCCTTCCTGTAGAACAAGCAATCATGTGTTGTGCTCTTTACCAAAAAAGCACATAACTAACAAATAAGCTATTGTAATGAACAGAAACATGTGGAATGTTTGCCGTTCATACAGGCTTCATATGGTCGGATCACAAAATGCACGTGGAAACCAGTGATTTGCAAATAATAACACCCACCTTTATTTTAGAGAGTATTTCACCTCACTTTATGGATTGCAATCCATAAACATTCTGTTTAATTAGCTAGCATATCAATGTATTAACTCTAGGCCGTGCTAGTTTTACAGTTACTGACCTCTTAATCATTCAATCTTTTTAATGTTTGCTTTAGAGGAAAAATAATTCTATTTATCATTCAAAAGTAGAGGGGCAGGGGGGGAAGATAAATAAAATCGGTTAGCTATTACATGCACACCTCCATTATATATTGAATTTTTACCATTATTTGTAGCTCAGGGTTGCACTGATGACGTTACCTAGTTTGGTAATGAAACATCTGCAACAAAACAACCAAGCTAAGAATGCCAAGGACCCCGCATTGAATTTTTATATGTGACTTTCTTTAAGATACATCTCAAACCGAAGCACAAGAGATTAAGATTCAGACAACTCAGACTCATCCCCAACAGCCAGCGCCTGTCTTCAACGGGGAAGGGACCCAGGGCAGAAAACATGCTGTAGCCAAGAAGGCTCCACACATATTTGCACCACTCAGGTGACCCTGAGGACACAGCTAAACTTCCAAGTGGCTTCAACGACTCTCTAAAGGAGGCAAATGACCAGCTGTCTGCAAGGAGTATAAGTCCTTCCCTTCCCCACCATCCAGTCAGAGCTGAAGAAGCTTCTTGGATGAGAAGCGAAACGTCTTCAAAGAAAAACAAGGAAATCCAGTTGCCTCATGAAAAAGCACCTTTGGGACAACCAGGACCTGGAATGACCGAGAATCTCCGCAGACATCTAGAACAGTATTTCATCTGTTTTTACTCCCAAATAGGAAGCTGAGATTTACCAATGAGTTTTTTTTAAAATTTGGGTTAGTGTGTTTTACTTAGTACCATGCAGTGGTAGGTCAGAAGTAGTAAGTGTGGCAAAGTGCCTGTTCCAAAAATCTTATTAAAATCTCTTCTCTATTGTATTCCTTTCGGCCTCCTACATCGCTCAGAGAGATGCTTGTCTCACAATGAGGCAAAGCCTCAGATAAAACCGGGCCCAGATAATCCTCCTCATTAAGCAGCTGAAAACGAGAAGAACTTACAGGGATTTTAAATGCATCTACTGACATTTGATTCTCTGAGTCCATCGACGGTCGACGGACATTACTTGACGAATAGTTGACGGGATAGGCCTGAGCTGGGCGCCGGAAGGTCATCTCTGCCGAGGCGATGGGCGTTTTGGGCGCGTTCTTGTGGTAGCGATGAATGAAGTAGGAAGAGAGGACCACGGAGATAATGAAAGAGAGCAGGACTCCTCCAGCAATCACCATTTTGCACATGTCGTCGCACAAAGCTTCTGAGGAGAAAGAAGAAATATATTGAGACCAGATTCTCGCCGCTCTTGATCTTGCCCTCCTTTTTTACGATGCCTTAATTCAAGATAGCGTTGGGGCATTTACTGGCTGGCTGCCCTTCCTGACACCTACACGAAGTTCACAGCAGATATTTTTTCTTGGAGCCCAGAGAGATAAACCTCTGCTGCTACCTAGGATTGAACGCTCAACCTTCCAAATGGGAGGTGAGCATCTTCACCACTAGGCCATCATGCTATTCTCGCTCCTGATCTTGGTCTCCTTTTTTACGACCCTGTGATCCCTAAATTCGAGATAGAGTCGGGGCAACTGGGTGGAACGGAGCGTTTGCTGGCCAGCTGCCCTTCCTGATGCCTACGCGGATATATATTTTCTTTGCGCCCAGAGAGAGAAACTTCTACCATTCTCAATCTTCCTAGTGGGAAGCAAGCGTCTTCGCCACTAGGTGACCACACTGCTCTCGCTCCTGATCTTGCTAACTATGGGTAATTTTCCATTTATGAAAACAGAGCCCCAAAATTTCTATCACTAAGCAGCACAGTTGTGAATTTTGTCCCATTTTACGACCTTTCTTGTCACAGTTATTAGATACAACCATGTTACTAACTGTAGTGATTCACTTAACAACTGTGGCAAGAAAGGTCATAAAATGGGACAAAGAGATCCACACTAGGGGGGAAGAGCTTTTTGGTTCCCAATTACCCACATATTCATTTCATTCATGGTCACGACCTACCATCCTGTTCACATTTTTGAGCAAAACATTTGCACTGGGAAACATCTGTTTTAAGAGGACGATTGTCACAAAAATGCTAGAGCATCCAGTGATGCAATGAGAGACTCACAACTTCAGACTTACCCTGGATATCATCTTTCGCACAGTAACAGCTTACTCCGGGAAAGCAGTGACAAACGCCGTGTCCTGCCTTGATTCCACTTCCGAGATTTCCTTTTAGATGGCCACCAATAATGTTGGTTCCTAAATCAAAGACGGATTGAGATAGCTTTATTTGAGCCACCAGGGCTCGGTACCAGATGGTATTCTCTTTTAACAAATGTTTGAAAATTTGGCTTATCAAAATAGGCAAAGCAAGTTTGGGTGAGAAAACGGACATCTGTTTGGGGATTTTATATTGCAGGAGCTTTTTTGAATTGTATGTTCTCCAAGCTTGTGGGTAACATTTCTGTCAACGCTGCTAACATCGGAGGTTCTTGCTTTGACAATGGATGAAAATGCAGCCATTTTCTCTATTGCTTTTAGAATTAGTTGCTGCTGGGAGGAGGGACTGGGATGAGAGTCCAGCTAGTCATAACAATAACAACTCTGTCATGGGAACCCAAGGACAAACTGGGTCCTGAGCTGATAACGTTTTGGTGGGCTGGAGAGCTGGGGAGGAAGCCCAAGCTTCAAGCTAATTGGGGAATGTGCTTTAGGACTGTTTATTGGGGGTGGGAATTGTGCTTTGTTACTTTGTATCCAGGGGAAGGGAAATTAGTTTTTGGGTTCAACTATGTAGTGCCGATACTTTGTTTCCCAAATAAAAGATTTTTTAAGGTAAACAATGCCTCAAAGTTCTTTTGAAGGGTTTCATCTGTCGGAACCATGACAATTTCGTTACCTGGCTAGGTAAAATCTTCAGCGGAGCTTAGAGGATGTCAGTGTCCTTCTGTTTATAAGGGCTTCGGGGGTGGATGTGTGAAGTGAGGGTTTTGTGGTGGGTCAGGTGTGAATCACCAGTGAGTTCTTGTGATGGGTTGTGATGGGGAGGTTACCTCAGGTTAGGGTTATCGGGAGGTGAACTGCTGATGGGAGGGGGGCCTTGTGTGGGTTGGTCCCCGTTAAAAGGCCCATCACAAGACCTTCACTTGACACACCCACACCTTAAGGCCTTATAAACAGAAGAACTTACATCCCATAAACCATGCTGAAGATGTTAGCTAGCCTGGTAACAAAAAGTTTGTAAACCAACTCAGAAGCTTGGAGAATGAACCTTCACCTGAGTTGAAGGAAGGAAGGAAGGAAGGAAGGAAGGAAGGAAGGAAGGAAGGAAGGAAGGAAGGAAGGAAGAAAAAAGGAAAGAAGGGAAAAAAGGAAGGTAGGAAAGAAGAAAGAAAGGAGGGAAGGAAAGAAAGAAGGAAGGAAGAAGGAAAGAAGGGAAGAAAAAAGAAAGAAGGAAAGAAAGAATTATCCTTCAGATGAGGTTTCGTTCCTGCTGATTTCATGGTCCTGTGCATTCCATTTCATTCTGTTCCAGAATTCCTGATTGACTGAGAATTCCCCAATCTGGCTTAGAGCCCTGGGAATCCACTTGGCAGCTGTCCATCAAAGCATCCCTCAGGCCTGATCTGTCTTACCTCCCTGAGCTCAGACCAAGTCATCCACCAGATACTATCAGCTGCTGAAGCACCGATGTTGACTCAGGGACAGAAAGAAACAAAACAGGTATCAAAGCCAAGAGTGAAGGGGAAAAAAAAAACGAAGTCCGGATTCCATACTTGTGCAATCTTGAGGGCAGATTCTCTTATCTCTGCTTTCGACAGCATCACAAATCCCAGCTGGACATGTCTTGATGCTTGGACTACAAGTAGAGTAGTTGGTGGTTATTCCTAAAAACAGAACATGGTCTTTGAATTCTGGACAATGCATAACCAATTCAAACCCAAAGGTGCTTTATTTTTTTCAGGAGGCAACTGGATTTTCTTGTTTTTCTTTGAAGACGTTTCACTTCTCATCCAAGAAGCTTCTTCACCTCTGACTTGGATGGTGGGGAATGGAAAGATTTATACTCCTTGCAGACTGCTGGTCCTTTGCCTTCTTTTTAGAGAGTCATAGAGGACACTTGGAGATTCACCTGTGTCCTCAGGGTCACCTGAGTGGTGCAAATGGGTATGGACAGCCCTTCTTAATAGAAGGGGAGGTTAAAACATCATCTATCTCCAGTCTACCACACAGTCCTTTCCCAGAAGGCTCCACACCCATTTGCACCACTCAGGTAAACCTCCAAGTGGCCTCAACGACTTATTTGTCTTCTTTTAGAGGGTCGTTGAGGCCATTTGGAGGTTGACCTCTGTCCTCAGGGTCACTTGAGTGGTGAAGATGGGTGTGGCGTCTTCTTGGCTGTAGGATGTTTTCTGCCCTGGGTCCCTTCCCTGTTGACGATGGGCTACAAGGCTGTTGGGGATGAGTCTGTGTTGTCTGCATCTCAAACTGAGACTCAAATGGTTCTTGTAGTCTGCAATATTTTCTGGAAATCCATTCATATTCCCTCACCATTCGAAGGGTGTCCATCCCAAAGTGCATAGCTCAATGTCTACGGAGGTTCTCCGTCATCCAGGTCATGATTGTCCCAAAGATTTGGGACAACCATGACCTGGATGACGGAGAACCTCCACAGACAAGGGGGAGCCTGCTTGCTCCTTTCCTGAACATCAGAGAAACCATTTTCACTAATGAAATACACACATTCCACGAAGCCGCATTTGCTGCAAAATATGGCTCAGTTTTAAGGCAGATTTCCAAATATTTTTCAAACATACCTTTCCCACTTCCTTGCCTCCACTGGCATTTTCCCATCAGCACTCCGACACCTCCACATTCTTCACACTCCGATCGCCTTTTGCTCATAGCACAGGAGTCTGGACAGTTCTCATCGTTATGTATAACTGGGAAGAAGAGAAAAACAGAAGAGATTGTGACCCTCGGTGGCATCACTATCACCGTGTTGCAGAAATCCTTCTTATAACCCACGAATGTCAGGCATGAAAAATAAGGATCACAGCAGTGGTGGGAGTCAAATACCTGAACAACTGGTTCTCTTATTTGATATAGGCCTGGGCCTCTGATGTCTAGAATTGACTTTCGGAAGTGGCATCCATGCACTTCCGGTGGGCCATTCTAGGCCTGGGAGGCCTCCTCCAGACCTCTGATGCCTAGAACGGATTTCCGGAAGTGGCATCCATGCACTTCCAGTGGGCCATTCTAAGCCTGGGAGGCCTCCTCCAGGCCTCCAAAGCCTAGAACGGACTTCCGGTGGGCCATTCTAGCCCTGGGAGGCCTCCACCAGGCCTCCGAGGCCTAGACTTGACTTCTGGAAGCCAGCCGGTTCTCCGAATTCAGGTAACCAACCATTCAAGTGTAACCAAGCACCAACTTTCTAGAAACAGCAAACGTCTTACGTGATCCTTCAAGCAGGACAGTAAGATGAGCGTAAGCTTCCTTCCTGCTCCATTCTTCTTTAGCTACCACAGGGTAGTGTATTTCTCGGCACTCGGGGTTCTGCAACACAGCGGAGTGGTTCACGTAGAGAATTCCGTACTTGTCATCGTGGCTCGGAGCAACCTCCACCGCGTAGCAGCTGACATTTGGACTCTCTAGGCTGTAGGTGATGCTGACGCCATAAAACTTCATGCAGTTGTCAATGCAGATTTTTCCTATCTAGGGTCAAAAAAAAGAGAGAGAGAAGGAAATGAGGAAAAGACAAGAGAAGGCATCAAAATGTCAGCAAGACTTGCTGAAGAAGAGCAAGGGATGGGATTGGGATTGGGTTGGGTTGGGTTGGGTTAGGGTAGAGTAGAGTAGGGTAGGGTAGGGTAGGGTAGGGTAGGGTAGGGAAGGGTAGGGTAGGGAAGGGTAGGGTAGGGTAGAATCAAAGTTAGAAGGTACCTGGGAGGTCTTCTAGTCCAGAGGTCCCCAACATTTGGGCACCAGGGACTGGTTCTGTGGAGAAAGGTTTTTCCACAGACCGGAGAGTGTGTGGTTTTGTGTGTTGCCTGCATACCGCGGATGGGCCTTTCCTTGTTTGTGCGGACCGGTTGCTGGCATGCCGTGGCCCAGTACCAGTTCACGGACTGGGGATTGGGGACCCCTGTTCTAGTCCAATCTCCTGCTCAAGCAGGAGCGCCTATACCATTCCAAATAAATGTCTGTCCAATTTCTTCTTTCAAGCCCCCCCTTGATGGAGCACCCATAACTTCTGGAGGCAAGCTGTTCCACTGGTTAATTGTTACCACTGTAAAAAAGGTTTTCCTTAATTCTAGGTTGGAACTCTCCTTGATTCATTTCCATCCATTGCTTCTTTGGAAGTTCTTCTTCTTTTTCCTTCTGTGCTTTGGAAAATAAGTTGACCCCCTCTTCCCTGTGGCAGCCCCTCAAATATTGAAAGACTGCTGCCTAGTCCTTCTTTTGGTTAAACAATACATACCCAGTTCCTGCAATCTCTTTGCAAAAGGCGTTAAATAAGTAGACCATCAAGCAGTTATATTCAGGGCCGTTACAGGTTGGGGAAAGTATTCTTATTATTCAAAAACTTTCTTCTACAGTCAGACAATATACCACAATGCTGAAAAAGATCCCCCAGTTCTTTTTTTTAATGCAGCTCGAACTTTTCATTGCAATACTGGTTGTTCAAACAGAAAAGTCACAACAACTTGCTTGCAATTTTCTTGCAAGTCATTAAATGCTATTTTATAACTGAGACTGCCCTACTCATTTACTGCATTGCTAAAATGTTGATAGGGCCTCAGCCCCTCTTCACCGTTGCAGAATTTGTTTGTGGAGGACACTCGGACCTTTACACATCTTGCGTTGGCTCATGTCTCCACATTAGATCAACGTTTTCTACAGATTATGGGCAAAAGACATAGAAAAGCCGATATGATGTTGCCATGTTGGATTAGAAATTGAGACCTCCAGGTTCAAGTTAACTATTAGCTGTGGAAACTCACCAGGTGAGTTTGGAGCAATCCTTCTCAGCCCAACATAGATCAAAACATTGCTATATCAGGAGACAATGAAAATAAATCTTCATAGAAGCTCCCTTAGGCCTTTGAAGAAAAGCAGGCTATGAATCTGAGTGAAATTTGGGTCTTTTCACCCTCGTTGATCCAGCAATATATGAAAAGGCTCAAATTCATAATCGTGAACATTTAATGTTCAATTCCCTGGAATAATCAGATGACCAGTCATCTAAAATGCCAGATGATTTATATTATAGTATTAAATAAGAAAATTACATGTTACATCCTAATGTTCTAAGCCTGATCCCTAGGCACAGTAAAATGGTTTATAAATCGAGCAGCTGCAACTAAAGTAACTTTTAAAAAAAAAGTAATCAAAACATCACTAAATGGAAAAAGCATTATTACAATTCAGCCATTAACAAGCCTTGACCTGAGTCTCCAAATGTTTTAAGAAAATATCCCTGCTTTTATGCAATTCTTCCGGTGTTGCCTTCATATGTGAGAAATGTCAGCATAGGCTGACATTTCCCAAATCTAATGGGTTCAAAAACACGCATTTCTTTCTCTGTTCCTTAATCGGGCCACTTCTTCCTGTTTTTAGCGCTGACCTTTGTGGAACTCTTTCCTTCTTGTCTATTCAACCCAACTTCTCAAACCTCTGAAAATTGGTGGTTCTTTATTATATATAAGTGAAATTGTAGGAGTGTCCATTTGGGATCTGCTTCTCAACATGAGTCTCTAAGAACAGGGGATGTCATATGTATTTGGTAATATTTTTCTCCTGCTAGCCAAATGATGGTTATCAAGTTGCCTGTGGTTCTTGGTAGCAGTGTTTCAGTATCTGAGGGGCTGCCACAGAGAAGAGAGGGTCAAGCTGTTCTCCAAAGCAAGACAAGAAGCAATGGATGGAAACAAATCAAGGAGAGAAGCAATGTAGAACTAAGGAGAAATTTCCTAACAGTGAGAACAATCAACCAGTGGAATGGCGTGCCTTCAGAAGTTGTGGGTGCTCCATCACTGGAGGTTTTTAAGAAGAGACTGGACAGCCACTTGTTTCAAACTGTATAGGGCAGTGGTTCTCAACCTGTGGGTCGGGACCCCATTGGGGGTTGAACGACCATTTCACAGGGGTCTCCAAACAAGGCTGTCCGCCATTTTTTCCCCTTTTCTTTGGCCATGCCCCAGGCACCCGATGATGTATAAGTGGTTGGGGGTCACCACAACATGGGGAGCTGTATTATGGGGTCACGGCATTAGAAAGGTTGAGAACCACTGGTATGGGGTCTCCTGCTTGAATGGGGGGGACTAGAAGACCTCCAAGGTCCCTTCCAGCTCTATTTTTATTCAGTATATATAGAGATAAGCTTTAAACTACATAGTTGTGATAGATCTCAGGACCTTTTCCCGTTCTGAGATTTCTCCAAGGCTAGAGATAACATTTTCATGTATTTTCAGCCAAGTAGCTACAACATTACTTATTTCAGCATGGGAGGAGAACAGACCTGGAAAAAAAATGTCCATTGTGGAAGTCAAATTGTCACAGTGTGACTCCAGTCACTGTTGAACATTTTACGTTTGGTGGGACAGAGAATTATAATATGAAGGAGTTGGGCTAGGTCCCTTCTAATTCTTGTTATTCTGTTATTCCTGTGTAATTAGTATCTGGTCTGCTGAACACCAACTCAAAGCTATAATTTCCCCCTTGTTGTGTTATTCTTTCTCAGCTTCTTGACTGCTCATATTTCCTCCTTGTGTTCTTTTGCTTGCTGAGTTAAATTTTCTGAAGTCCTACCAGACTTGCTTCGTTGGATGGAAACAAAAAGTCCATCTCTGCTTTTTAAAAAAGGACATTAAGATGCAGATAGTCTATTTTTAATTTTCACTAATTTAGAAAAACTGAGTTGGAGATTTGTAATGAATCCCACCAAAAACTGCTTCTCAGTCTCACTTATGGCACTCTTTACCACTGAAAAAAACTGCCAATAAACTTAATAAATGATGCTTTTACTCACGAATGAAAGGCCTAAAAAATGTGACTTTTGGAGAACTTCAGAACTACAGAACTTCCAAGAAAATAAGTAGGAAGATAATGGCCTTTTAATGTGTTGCTATTCTTATTTCAACAAACTGAGGAGAAATATTACGCCCGGAAATAACACAAGTGAGTTTAAGACAATTAACATGTGGCAGTCGTTTTTCTTCATCACAATATTAGTAACAAAACCAGGTATGTTTTTTTTTTCCTCTCCAGAAGTAAGACAAATCTCCATGCTTTAATTTTATTATCTTCTTAAAATGTGATTTTTTTTTATTTTTTTTTTAGGAAATGCAGTAAAATAATTTACCTGCAACAATGGTTGGGAACGGTTGGAACTGGGTGCTCATTAGAGCTGCGTACATATAAATAGAATTTATCAATTGTGGAAAATCTACAGATTAAGCCTCGAAATAGGAGCTAAACCTTAATTTCAAACAATGAAGGATGAATTAGTTCCTATCCCCCTTTTATGAAATCCAGTTCTAAAACAGAACAACAATTTGCCAGCAAAATCTGTCACTTCTCATATGGTTTAATTTTTAGAATTGAACTAACTTTTTCCCCTTCATTGCTTTCTTCTGCTCTGCTGATTAAAACATCTGCATTTTCTGTTCAAGTTGCACAAAATACTTAGACACCCACTATCTCTGACACAAGATAAAATATGAGCAATTTGAGATTGATGGGAGTAAAAGCTACAGTTTTCCAGCCCTGAAAACAGGCCCACGCACAGCTTAACAATAAACTAGATTAAGCTTCCAAGATAACTCAGCACATGAGAAAGAATTAAAGATACATGCATGCTTATACAGCGAAAGAGACTCTTAACAGGTGATAACATGCATTTAGTCAAATTATAGCACAGAATTTGAGCATTGCGACAACAAAACTTGTCAGTCCAAATTAACTATAAATTAACTGCCTCCTTCTAAACCCCAAACACAGATCATTTCAAGAACTAAACACTTCCTCTATAGCTTAATAATCTTTAAACAGTCATTATTTTGCCTTTGCAATCACTTGGTTTATTAAGAAGAGGGGGGTCACTTTATTCTCCAAAGCACCAGAGGACAGGACAAGAAACAATGGTTGGAAACTGATCAAAGAGAGAAGCAACCTGGAATTAAGGAGAAAGTTCCTGACAGTGAGGACAATTAACCAGTGGAACAACTTGTCACCAGAAATCATGGGCAGTTTTTAAGAAGAGACCGGACAGCCATTTGTCTGAGATGGTATAGATTCTCCTGCTTGAGCAAGGGGCTGGACTAGAAGACCTCCAAGATCCCTTCCAGCTCTATTCTATTCAGGAGAGTCAATATATTGTGTCCAAATTGCCTACGTCCTAGCCATCTTTGGGTTTGTATGTACGTTTCCCTGCCCGATGATTTAATTTTAAGAAGCTCCTGCTTGAAAGAGAGGAGAGGAGAGAAGAAGAAGAGAAGAAAAGAGAAGTGGAAGAGAAGAAAAGAGAAGAGAAGTGGAAGAGAAGTGGAAGAGAAGAGAAGAGAAGAAGAGAAGAAAAGTGAAGTGAAGAGAAGAAAAGAGAAGAGAAGTGGAAGAGAAGAAGAGAGAAGAGAAGAGAAGTGGAAGAGAAGTGGAAGAGAAGAGAAGAGAAGAGAAGAGAAGAGAAGAGAAGAGAAGAGAAGAGAAGAGAAGAGAAAAGCCATCCTCACTTGTGAGAAGTTGGCAGCGTTTCTGTTTACGGTGAGCTGGTATGTCGCGTTGGAGAACTGGATCAGGACGGGAAGGATGGAGACGTTGAAGTGCAGCGTCAAGGATTTGTCGGACCCCTGGTACGTGGTGTCGTTCACAATGACATCCAGCAGGAGAGAACGGCTTTCCATAATGGAAATGGTCCTGTTTAGTATCAGCCCTGCACAAATAAGAAACAAAAAAAGAGGAAATTGGTTTCACTTCACAATACATTAGCACTTGGAGAAGGGAATAGACAACAAAGAGAGACACCCAGTGGATGAAGAATGGACAGGCACCGGACAGTAGATTATGGGGAATCTGGCTACAGACATAGTGGAATGCAGAGTACAACCCTAAACTCTTTTGAAGGAATAGAATAAAACAGAACAGAACAGAACAGAATAGCATAGAATAGCATAGCATAGCACAGAACAGAACAGAATAGAATAGAACAGAATAGAATGCATAATAGGGATAGGATAGGATAGGACAGGATAGGATAGGATGCAGAATACAACATAGAATAGAATAGAATGCAAAATACAATGCATAATAGAAATAGAAGAATAGAATAGAGTAGAAGTCAGAATACAACATAGAATAGAATAGAATAGAATGCAGAATACAATGCATAATAGGAATAGAATAGAATAGAATAGAATAGAATAGAATAGAATAGAATAGAATAGAATAGAATAGAATAGAATAGAATAGAATGGGATGCATAATAGGGATAGGATAGGATAGGATGCAGAATACAACATAGAATAGAATAGAATGCAAAATACACTGCATAATAGAAATAGAAGAATAGAATAGAAGTCAGAATACAACATAGAATAGAATAGAATAGAATGCAGAATACAATGCATAATAGAAATAGAAGAATAGAATAGAATAGAATAGAATAGAATAGAATAGAATAGAATAGAATAGAATAGAATAGAATAGAATAGAATGGGATGGGATGCATAATAGGGATAGGATAGGATAGGATGCAGAATACAACATAGAATAGAATAGAATGCAAAATACAATGCATAATAGAAATAGAAGAATAGAATAGAAGTCAGAATACAACATAGAATAGAATAGAATAGAATGCAGAATACAATGCATAATAGGAATAGAATAGAACAGAACAGAACAGAACAGAACAGAACAGAATAGAATAGAATGCAGAATACAACATAGAATAGAATAGAATTACTGTATTCATGTTGAGTCCCCCGCACTTGGCTGCCATTTGGGCGGAAATAAATCTCGTGGAACAGATGCTCCACCCGAAACGTTTCCTGTATCCACGGATCCGAGGAATTGATGCTGCCCGTGTATTTCTTCCTGCTGGTATCCACAGGGTAGATAGGGGTTGTGTCTGTATCCAGGACTGTTAACGATGCCAAGACGGTACCCTGGAAAAGAAGAGAGGTAGATCAAAGCAGCTCTCCACCAGCCATCAGCACCCAGACCAGCATCGATCAACTCCAACATTAACATCCCAACCATCAATCAAGTAAACAATACCCCAATCCAGAAACTGACAAAACCAGAACAGAACCCGCCACGGCCAAGTCGCCGTAGGAAAACTCACCCCGGGATAATTTAAGCATTCAATTTAATTATTTAAAATAAATAAGTAAAAATATTTCAATTTTTTGTCCTTCGCATCTCATTCTGTCCCTCTCCTTTTGCGTCCTTTCATGATTATATTGTAACATCTCTTTGGTCTTTATGAAAACAGCCATGGTGGCGCAGGGGTTAGAAGGCAGTACTGCAGGCTAGCTCGCTGCTCACTGCCAGGAGTTCGATTCTGACTCGCTCAAGGTTGATTCAGCCTTCCGTCCGTCCGAGGTTGGTAAAATGAGGACCCCGGTTGTTGGGGGCAACACTCAGTAAAACCACTTAGAGAGGGAGGTAAAGCACTGTGAAGCGGTATATAAGTCTAAGTGCTGTTGCTATTGACTCCGCCTTCCATCCTTCCAAGGTTAGTAAAAAAAGGACCCAGATTGTTGGGGGCAATATGCTGATTCTGTAAACCACTTAGAGAGGGCTGTAAAGCACGGGGAAGCAGCATATAAGTCTAAACTCTATTGCTATTAGTGTAATTCCGGTCCCATAAGTGAGCTGTGCTGTGCTGAGTTGGCCACAGTTAAGTTGGCCCTGGCAAAGTGTCCTAGACCCACAGTAAACAGCCCAACCAAAGAATCTCTAAGACCACCCCCACTAACACAGACAAGTCACTGGAACATAAACTGAGAGCAAAGCACACTCCTTACTAGCACTGATGATGTTACCTAGTTGGGTAATGAAAGGTCTGCAAGAAAACAACCAAGCTCAGAGATCACCGCGGACCCCCCTCCCATTTCAGCCCCGAGCTACAAATATTCTCCTTTATAGGTAGATTCAAATTACACAGTAACAAGGCACAACTCTTGAGCTCTGATTGTTAAGAGAAGCTTCCAGGTGTGACCTTCGGATGAGGAATCTGACCAAAGAGCTCCAGGAAAAAAAAATACCACCAATAAATTCACTTTAGCTGAGGCCACTTATAACAGGCACTGAATGAGCCACTGGCTTAGTGCATTAGTGTTTCTAAACTGTCTAGACGGCGGCCATCAGTGGAAGCCCGTTTCAGCCACGAACTAAAATGAATGCAACATTTATTATTCAATTATTTACAACGTGCATCCCCTGCTCATTCTCTGCAAGAGGATACAGAAGGGAGAGCCTCGAAAACAACAAAACACACAACAAAATGTAACAGGTATAAATACAAAAGGAGGGGGGTCTCTGGTGCTCTCTGAGCTTTGCTGTTTTCTTGCAGACATTTTGTTACCCAAACTAAGTAATATCATAAGTGCTAGGAAGGATTGTTAGATTGGGAGTTAATTGTCAGCATAGAGTAACACCAAAATTAACATCAGACCAGCAATCAAGCAGGAGACCCTGTGCCATCTCAGACAGGTGGCTGGCCAGTCTTTCCTTTAAAATCTCCAGTGATGAAGCACCCACAACTTCTGGAGGCAAGCAGTTCCACTGGCTGATTATCCTCTGAAGTTGTGGATGCTTCATCACTCGAGGCTTTTAAGAAGAGACTGGACAACCACCTGTCTGAAATGGTATAGGGTCTCCTGCTTGAGCAGGGGGCTGGACTAGAAGACCTCCAAGGTCCTTTCCAGCTCTATTCTCATTGATTTGACTCATTCTCCTGAATTAAGTGGAGGCGTTAATAAGGCTTTAAAGGATGCATTTTAGACCAAGACTAGGATCGAAGTTGGAGCTTGCCTGTAACACCAACATAATCTATCCAACCATGATTAATCAGAGCTAAACAAGGTTCCCAGATCAATATTGCATCCATAATCTTCAACCCAGCAGTCAGGAAGAGCGGGAACTAAAGAAAGGTAGCAATGACTACTTCTGGCCTGAGGGTGGCAGCAAATAACCAAAAATGAAACTTATTTTCTTGCCAAATTCTCAAGGCCAGGAAAATAACTTTAACTGGATGAAGAAAGATAACTTCATATAAGGGCTGAGCTCAAAAAGCAGAGGTCAGGAAAGACACTTCTGTTTTTGAGTGTCTATGAAGATTCTCAGTCACCCAGGTCATACTTATCCCAAAGATGTTTTTTTCTTCACCAGGCAACTGGACTTTCTTGTTTTTCTTTCAAGATATTTCGCTTCTCATCCAAGAAGCCTCTTCATTCAGCTCTGACTGGAAATGGTAGGATTTATACTCCTTCCAGACAGCTGATCCTTTGCCTTCTTTTGAAGAATCGTTAATGCTACCTGGAGGCTTATCTGTGTCCTCAGGGTCACCTGAATGGTGCAAATGGGTGTGGAACCTTCTCGGAGCTTCACCACCGTCCAGTCAGAGCTGAAGAAGCTTCTTGGATGAGAAGCGAAATGTCTTCAAAGAAAAAACAAGAAAGTCCACTTGCCTCCTGAAAAAAAAAAAAAACGAACCTTTGGAATTCTGTTTTGGAAGTTGCAAATATGCACCTCCGGGGCTCCAAACGGCCTCTTCTCAAGTCCTGAACAAAGCACCAAAGAGCTGAAAACTGGACTAAAATGAAGTGTTTTGCAGGCAGTCTTCGGCTTACATCCAAATTTTGGGCCCAAAATTTCCATTATTAAGCAAGGCGGCTGTTAAACTTGGCCGCGTGTTACGATCTCCTTTGCCCCAGAGTTCTTAAGAAAACCACAGCAGTTCTTAAGTGAATCCTGTGGTCCGTGATGGGATTCAGCTGGTTCACACAGGTTCGGCAGAACTGGCAGCTAAATTTTGTTGAGTTCGGAGAACCGGCTGAATGCACACCGCTTCCGGAAGTCTGTTCTAGGCCTGGGAGGTCTGGAGGAGGCCTCCTAGGCCTAGAAGGGCCCGCCGGAAGTGCGTGGATGCCACTTCCGGAAGTCTGTTCTAGGCGTGGGAGGCCTGGAAGAGGCTTCCCAGGCTTAGAACGGCCCACCGGAAGTGCATGGATGCCACTTCCGGAAGTCTGTTCTAGGCCTGAGAGGTCTGGAGGAGGTTTCCCAGGCTTAGAATGGCCCACCGGAAGTGTGTGGATGCCACTTCCAGAAGTCCATTCTAGTCCTGGAAGGCCTGGAGGAGGCTTCCCAGGCTTAGAACGGTCCAACGGAAGTGCATAAATGCCATTTCCGGAAGTCTGTTCTAGGCCTGGCAGGCCCATGCCTACATCCACGCAGAGAAGCAGTTGTTCAGGGATTTGGATCCCACCACTGCATGTGGTTATTAAATGAATCTGCCTTTCCCCATTGACTTTGCTTGTCAGAAGCTGGCTAAGAAGATTATAAATGGTGATGATATGAGCCCGGGACAGTGCAACCGTCATAAGTACACGCCAGTTGCCAAGTGTCCAAATTTTGGACAACCCCTGTGCCAGCCTACCTCTTCCCTTTTGAACTCCACGATGGCGTCTGTTGTGCTGGTCCCATTGGAAAGAAAGGGGGGCATGTCGTCTTCATCCAGAATATGTATGAGCAGAGGCACTTCCTTGAACATCTCCTGGGAGCCTTCCTTCAAGGTGCACTGGGCCAACATCTCGTACTTTTCTCGCTCTTCTCGGTCGAGGGGTTTTGACACTCCTATGGTGGTGGTCTCCTCATTATAATAAAATGGCAGGTTCTCATCTGGAACACAGTAGAAAGAAGAAGAAGAAGAAGAAGAAGGAGAAGGAGAAGGAGAAGGAGAAGGAGAAGGAGAAGGAGAAGAAGAAGAAGAAGAAGAAGAAGAAGAAGAAGAAGAAGAAGAAGAAGAAGAAGAAGAAGAAGAAGAAGAAGAAGAAGAAGAAGAAGAAGAAGAAGAAGAAGAAGAAGAAGAAGAAGAAGAAGAAGAAGAAGAAGAAGAAGAAGAAGAAGAAGAAGAAGAAGAAGAAGAAGAACCTTATTTTCTCATGAAATCTGGAGCTATTCGTGACATTGTTTGGTCTTGAAAGTCCACCACACACACCTCCTTCACAAGTCGCATTCAGACAGGTTGCCTATCCTGGCTTATTCGTTCAGGGATTGGGAAATGGGATTCGATCCTAGTGACTTCTGATCTGGGGTATGAAAAGACTGTAATAGAAATCAAAATGGAGCTGGAAGGGACCTCGGAGGTCTTTTAGTTCAACCTCTTGCTCGAGCAGAAGACCCTATACCAGGGGTAGGCCACCTTGGCTCTTTTATGACTCTTTCAACTCCCAGAATTCCTGAGCCAGCATGGGGGAACTATGGCCCCCTCACGACTTGTGGACTTCAACTCCCAGAATTCCTGAGCCAGCCGCGCTGAGGGGAAAGGGAGAGGTTTCCAAGCTGAGCCATGCTGGCTCAGGAGTTCTGGGAGTTGAAGTCCACGAGTCATGAGGAGGCCATAGTTCCCCCATGCTGCCTCAGGAATTCTGGGAGTTGAAGTCCATGAGTCATGAGGGGGGGCATAGTTCCCCCACGCTGGCTCAGGAATTCTGGGAGTTGAAGTCCACGAGTCATAAAAGAGCCAAGGTGGCCTACCCCTGCCCTAGACCATTTCAGAAATTCTTTAAAAAAAAACCTCCAGGGATGGAGCATCCACAACTTCTGGAGGGAAGCTGTTCCCATAAAAGTCAACTTAAAGGCTCCGAATGAGCAAGTTATACATGGTAGCAATAAAGAAAATATTTTTTTTTTTAGCTCAAAGTTGAAATGAGAGGAACGTGGTGCTCTCTGAGCTTGGCTGTCTTCTTGCAAACATTTCATTACCTAACTGGATAACATCATCAGTGCTAGAAGAGAGTAACATTTATGGAGAAGGGGAGGAGGAGGACTGTGGGGTCCTTGGTGCTCTCTGAGTATCTTCTGGAAGATGTTTCATTACCAAACTAGGTAACATCATCAGATCCTCAATGCTCTCTGAGTTGGGTTGTTTTCTGGTAGACATTTCATTACCCAAACTAGATGCTAATGAATAGCACTGATGATGTGCTATTAGATTAAATATATTCTCAATTATGGTAAAAAAAAGAATGAAAAATGTTTGGAAATAAAGATGTGTTGGCTTATACGAAATAGGGATTTTAAGTAGTATACTATCTTTTTATTTTATTCTTTTTCTTATCCTCATTCTTCTTTTTTCCTCTTTTGAGTTTTATTCATTCCTTAAGAAAAGGTAAAAGTAATCGGTTGGTTTATACGAGAAAAAAAAATAGATTTAAATATTTAAATGTAATTAACTCTGAGAAAATCTTAACCAGTAAAAAATGTTGAGAACGCTGTGGGAAAAATAAATGTAAACAAGAACTGCATACGATGAGACAACCAGAATGACTGGATAGAAAAGGAATACTATATTGTTGTGATTGCTATTTGTAGACATTTGTAGAAAACTTTTATACTTAATCACCATTTACTAAAACAATAAGAATTGTATTAACTTAAGGTTGGTAAAAGAGAACACAATGGGGAAAAGAGGAAATCATGTAAAGTTATCATGTGGGTTATAGATTATAGAATTTAATTGTTAGTGAATGGAAACCCAGACAACGCACTGTCTACCAAATACTATGGTGATCATGTTAAAAATTAATAAAACATAGTTTTTTTTAAAAAAAAAGAATAGCACTGATGATGTTATCTAGTTTAGGTAATGAAATATCTGCAAGAAAACAACCAAGCTCACGGAGCACCAAGGATCCCTCAGTTATCCATGGAGCAGAGAGACCCAGATGTGGTGATTTCAGCCAGCTACTCTCTCTCAGCCCTAGATTATAAATCTATTTCCTTAACACACTCTAGGCCAGTGGTTCTCAACCTTTCTAATGCCGCGACCCCATAATACAGTTCCCCATGTTGTGCTGACCCCCCAACCACTGATACATCACCGGGTGCCATGGGCGTGGCCAAAGGGGGAAAAATGGTGGACAGCCTTGTTTGGCGACTCCCGTGAAATGGTCGTTTGACCCCAAATGGGGTCCCGACCCACAGGTTGAGAACCACTGTTCTAGGCCATGACTTCAAAGTACGGGCCTACATCCATCAGTGGGTTGACTTAGGCTGTTAACGGCAGCAGGTTTTTAAAAATCAACTCAACAAAACACAAGAAAAGGATATCAAAAGGGGGGAAAAATTATCATAGTTATAAATAAAGGGGAAAAGAGATCAGCTTTTAACTACAGCATTCAGCCTTGACTATGCCAAAAAAAAACCAACCCCATTGATTCATCTTTCCATTATGTTGATAGAGAGAGAGAGATTGATCCATAATTAGAAGTCCAAGATAATGTGTCCTTTGGCTGTAACAAGACAAATGTCTTTGCTACACGCCACTGCTTCAGAAATGCAATGTTCACGAAATGATGCAGTCCACATTCAAAGTCTTTAGTATATGATTCAACGTTATTGACCCTATTCTTTCTCCCAACACTACGATATTGTAAAATCCCCAGGGGTCTTTAGAAACCATAATCTGGCAGCATAATCAAAAGAGGAGATAATTACAATAATGAAATATTAATGGGCTTATGCTATGGATATTAAACCTCAATCAAGGCCAAGAGCCCCCATCTTCTATGTGTGACCATCACTGGACTTAGAATCTTAGAGCTCTATTTTTTTGGTCCTTAGAAAAACATAAATAAATAGTTTTTCTCTATTCACCTTACAACATACGAATTCCTAGGTTACATTAACAGAGGGACAGAATCAAGATCATGTGAAGTATGAGTACCACTTTATAATGACTTTGTAAGGCCAAGCTTGGAATACTGCATCCAGTTTTGGTCACCATGATATAAAAAAGATGTTGTGACTCCAGAAAAAGTGCAGAGAAGAGTAACAAAGATAATTAGGGGACTGGAGGCTAAAACATATAAAGAACGGTTGCTGGAATTGGGAATGTCTAGTTGAATGAAGAAAAGGATGAGGGGGGACATGATAGCAGTGTTCCAAAATCTCAGGGGCTGCCCCACAGAAGAGGGAGTCAAGCTATTCTCCAAAGCACCTGAAGGCAGGAAGCAACAGATGGAAAATAATCAAGGAAAGAAGCAACCTAGAACTAAGGACAAATATCCTGACAGTAAGAACAATTAACCGGTCGAATAACTTGCCTTCAGAAGTTGTGGGTGCTCCATCACTGGAGGTTTTAAAGAAGATATTGGACAGCCACTTGTCTGAGATGGTATAGGGTCTCCTGCTTGAGCAGGGGGTTGGACTAGATGATCTCCAAGGTCCCTTCCAACTCCGTTATTCCAATCTATTCTGAAAGCTTTCTGTTCTGATTCCCACTTCTCTTGCTTTTAGATATATTGCATGTTATACTTATACAGTAGTGTACCTTTACATTAGAAGTAGATGAACTTGCACTTCTGATGATATTTCAGTGCTGAGTTCCTGCTGATCGTTGTTGCTTCTAATTTTTTACTATTTGGTTGCAGATATTTTTTTTTCTTAAAGCGCAATGTTTTAAATGAGTAATTTTGAAGGACTAGCTCAGTGGTGGTGAACCTATGGCATGGGTGCCAGAGGGGGCACTCAGAGCCCTCTCTGTGGGCATGCACATTGTCGCCCCTGTCCTAGGCCTTCAGCTGGGTTTTATAAAACTTTTTCGCTTTAGGGCTCCGCCGCCGTGTACAAAAAAAAAAGGTTCAATCAATCAGTCAATTTCAACTTCTCACGGGAAAAAAAGATTGGAATTGATTGATTGAACTTTTTAGTCCCACCCAGTCAGCTGTTACCACCGCAGCCACGTCCACCCAATGGGCCACACCCACCCAATGGGCCACACTCACCTGGCACCCGACGATGCGTAAGTGGGTTTTGGGTTGCAGTTTGGGCACTCGGTCTCTAAAAGGTTCGCCATCACTGGACTAGCTGTATCTCGGGGGAAAAAATTAAATTGTGCACTATGTATAGCTGCTGTTGACCTAGATCCAGATAGTTGTCCTAAGGCAGGGGTTTTCAAACTTGGCCCTTTTGTGACTTATGGACTTCAATTCCCCAAATTCCTCAGCCAGGCACTCAGGCTGAGGGATTCTGGGAGTTGGAGTCCACAAGTCATAAAAGGGCCAAGTTTGAAGACCCCTGTCTTAAGGAATGGGTGGCCTACATAGCAGGGGTCTCCAAGCTTGCTTACTTTAACATTTGTGGACTTCAACACCCAGAATTCCTCAGCCAGTCATTCTGGCTGAGGAATTCTGAGAGTTGAAGTCCACAAGTCTTAAAGTCACCAAATTTGGAGATCCCGTCCTAAAGCCTTCTTCAACAATCCTTTGGGTTTGCTGAATTGCCAGTTCATTTGCCATGTTGGTTAAAGAGAAACTGAGTATCTGAGAAGTAACTTTCAGCCCCCAATCTCCTTCGGCTCTTGAATAAAACAACCCAACTTTGTTTTAGCCAAAGTCTTCTCTGACAACTATGATCCGCCTCTGAGTCATCATTTCCACAACCTGCAACTGGAGAACGCAAATCCATGGTCCTCGTCAGCACCACTTGCTGGTAGATTTTGAAAAAAATAAAAATAAATCCAATTTATACATGTTAAATTCTCTCCTGTGCAATCAAGGAGAAACCCCCTCACAGCATCTGCTATCAAGGTTTTGCAAGCTTAGGCAAAAATTCTATTATCTGTCAAGCAGGCATCAGAAACGCTTACAAAAGCCAGACATATTTCAAAGTAAACAGGAGTCTGGATCTGTCTAATGCTGGTGCTGAAGGAAAGCTAGGAAACAAGCAGCAACTTTTTCCTCTTGTGTTCGAGAGCTACTTGAGTGCTAAATGTTCGATGATCTGAGATATTCAGAACTTATTGCAAGCATTGCAATCTGTTCCAGATTAGCCGAGATCCCACAAAGTTCAAACAGGCCACGTTAATCTCTTTTTCTACGTACGTCTGCATATTTGTATCCCTTTCAGTTGGGTTTCCCAATGAATTAAAGGCAATTGTAGTAAACTAATAGTTTACCTGTGACAAGCTTGTAGGAAATGCTGACATTGTGACACTGGTGTTGCAGGGCAAAAGTCTGGAGCTGATGAAATATCCCCGGAGGTTTGTTCTCCATGATGTGAAAAGAGAGATCCATATCAGGAAAGCAAAGCTGGCTTGATGTCGGAGAACCGCACGCTGGCATGGTGGCATTGATGACTGAGAGTTTGACCAAAGTCATGGCCAATGAACCGAGACAGTTTTTGGTTTGAAAAGGTTTGGAAGAGAGGAAAACACGCAGCACGATTTTTGCCACTTGACTTCCCGAAGCTGTTATTAAAAAGGAGAAAAGGAGAAAGATTGACAGGGGAACACCAACGGAGTGCTTAACTAAGTCATTCCCCAACGGATAATCAATATTAATTATCACTCAGTCGATTCAAGGGACTTCGAAAGCCGACCTGGACAAGAGCACCAAGCTAAGATTTCCAAAGGTTTCGGAATTACAAAATAAAATAAAATAATAAAATAAAATAAAATAATAAAATAATAAAATAATAAAATAATAAAATAAAATAAAATAAAATAAAATAAAATAATAAAATAAAATAAATAAATAAAATAAAATAATAAAATAAAATAAAATAATAAAATAAATAAATAAATAAATAAAATAATAAAATAAAATAAAATAAAATAAATAATAAAATAATAAAATAAAATAAAATAATAAAATAAATAAATAAATAAATAAATAATAAAATAAAATAAAATAAAATAATAAAATAAATAAAATAAAATAAATAAAATAAAATAAAATAAATAAAATAAAATAATAAAATAAAATAATAAAATAAAATAAAATAAAATAAAATAAAATAATAAAATAAAATAATAAAATAAAATAAAATAACAAAATAAAATAAAATACAGGGGCAAAGTGAGGTGAAAAGTCTACAAGGATGATTAAATGTCTATGGAGATTCTCAAGTCAGCCAGGTCATGGTTGTCCCCAAAGTGCTTTTCCAAGAGGCCACTGGAATTAAGGAGAAACTTCCTAAGAGTGAGGACAATCAACCAGTGGAAGGGCTGGTCTCCAGAAGTTGTAGGTGATCCATCACTGGAGGTTTTTAAGAAGAGACTGGACAGTCACTTCTCTGAGATGGTATAGGTCCGTGGTGGCGAATTTATGGCACGCGTGCCACAGGTGGCACACAGAGCCCTCTCTGTGGGCACGTGCACCGTCTCCCCAGTCCTAAGCCTTCATCTGGGTTTTATAAAACCTTTTCACTTTAGGCCTCTGCCATTTGCAAAAAAAAAAAAAAAAGGTTCAATCAATGAGTCAATTTCAACTTCTCGTGGGAAAAAAAAAGATCTTGCAAAGTTGAAATTGATAGGTTGAACTTTTTAGTCCCACTCAGTGTGCCGTTACCACCAAAGCCACGCTCACCTGACACCCAACGATACATAAGTGGGTTTTGGGTTGCGGTTTGGGCACTCGGTCTCTAAAAGGTTTGCCATCACTGGTATAGGTTCTCCTGCTTGAGTGGGGGGCTGGACTAGAAGACCTCCAAGGTCCCTTCCAACTCTATTCTATTCCTTGTTCTTCTTTGAAGACATTTCGCTTCTCATCCCAGAAGCTTCTTCAGCTCTGACTGGATGGTGGGGAAATGGAAGGATTGATACTCCTTGCAGACAGCCAGTCATTTGCCTTCTTTCAGAGAGTCGTTGAGGCCACCTGGAGGTTTACCTGTGTCCTGAGGATCACCTGAGTAATGGAAATGTTTGTGGAGCCTTCTTGGCTGCAGGATGTTTTCTGTCCACTGTACCTTCATTCCCCACCCTCCAGTCAGAGCTGAAGAAGCTTCTTGGATAAGAAGCGAAGTGTCTTCAAAGAAAAACACGGAAGTCCAGTGGCCTCCTGGCAAAGCACCTTTGGGACATCTTTAGTTTGGTTTGAGGAAGCTTCTCGCATGAGACGTCAAATGCTTTCAAAGAAGAACAAAAACAAGGTAAGAAAAACCAGGATAACCTCCCTCCACCCTTCCTTCTTCCCACTCATCGGCCAAGAATTCCAGAGACTTACAAAGGACAATGAAATCTTCTCTATCCAGGGTCTTGTTGAGGTAAAGGAGTCCCGTTGTCTTGCTGATCTGAAACCAGAGATTTTTGGAGCCGGCCCGAACGGAATCTGGCAAAAGGCAAAAGAAAGCTTCCTTCTCCTCCTCCGAGTCTTTTAAGGCATGGAGTTGCAGTAAAGGCGTCCCTTCCGGTTGCTCCAGGTAAACGTTTTCATGATATGTCTTCCGGGGGAAGTACAGGCCGAAGGCAACTGGAAAAAGAAAGGGGAAACAAAATAAGAAAGAAAGAAAATTGTCCATTTAAGACTCGTGGTGCAAGAGCGGGCCCTTTCAAAAACTGTTTAGTACAACTAGTCCTTGACTCAACAACCACTGGTTAGTGACGGCTTTAAATGACAACGGCGCTGAAAAAAGTGACTTACGATCATTTGGCGCACAACCATTGCAACATCCCCAGGGTTACATGATCAAAATTTGGACACTTGAGAACTGATTCATTTATGATGGTTGCAGTGTCCCGGGGTTAGAATTGTAGAGTAGAGTAGAGTAAAATAGGAGTAGAGCAGATTAGAGTAGAGTAGGAATAGAGTAGAAATAGAGTAGAAATAGAGTAGGAATAGAGTAGAGTAAAATAGGAGTAGAGTAGGAATAGAATAGAATATAGAATATAGACTAGACTAGACTAGACTAGACTAGAATAGAATAGAATAGAATAGAATAGAATAGAATAGAATAGAATAGAATAGAATAGAATAGGAATAGAGCAGATTAGAGTAGAGTAGAGTAGGAATAGAGTGGAGTAGAGTAGAGTAGGAATAGAGTGGAGTAGAGTAGAGTAGGAATAGAGTAAAGTAGAGTAGAGTAGAAATAGAGTAGGAATAGAGTAGAGTAGAATAAGTACAGTAAAAATAGAGCATAGTGTAGAGTAGAGTAGAATAACGTAGGGTAGGAATAGAGTACAGTAGGAATAGAATGGAGCAGAGTAGAGTAGAGTACAGTAGGAGTAGAGTAGAAATAGAGTAGAGTAGGGGAGTAGGAGTAGAGTAGGAATAGAGTAAATAAATATAAATGTAAAGTATATGTATACATAAATCTGAGTTGGCAATAATTTCCAATTATTATATAATTGGAAGGAGAAGGAATAAAACTACGTAACTGTGAGGATACATTTTTCAAAAGCCAGCCAGAAGATATGGATAATTCTCTCTTGGTCCTTAAAATGGAAGGACATAGTATTAAAGTTCAGACTACCTGGAAGCTGAATTACCAGTAATTTCCAAGTGTTATACTATAATGATGCACAGAAAAGGTCAAAATGCTTCTTGATCAAGTCTACAGTTAATAGTCGGGGGTATTAACAGTCTGTCTCTCCAGCTTTTCTATCTCTCTCCCCGGCATTAAAGCACTTTCATTAATTACGCCATAATCACAACGAATCTCCTACAACTTCATTCTCAGCAGGCAATCCTGAACTCTGAGATTCTGTTTCTTAGCTGTCCGAATAACAGATTTGGAAGGGATCTTGGAGATCATCTAGTCTAACCCCCTGCTCAGGCAGGAAACCCTATACATTTCAGACAAATGACTGTCCAGTCTCTTCTTAAAGACTTCCAGTGTTGGAGCATTCACCACTTCTGGAGGCAGGTGGTTCCACTGGTTAATTGTTCTAACTGTCGGGAGGTTTCTCCTTAGTTCTAGGTTGCTTCTCTCCTTGGTTAGTTTCCATCCATTGCTTCTTGTCCTAACCCCGGATGAGCTCAAACCAAACTACTTCTGTATCTTACTTCTCTAAGAAAACAGCATGATTTTAAACTGCATTTAATTTTGAGGCGCTGAGTTCAATTTGAGGGCACCTTTACCTTGAATTGATAGAAATCTAAAACAAGGCAGAATACAGTAAGATTGGAGTAGGAGAGGAGAGTACCTATTTTCTCTTTGATGTCAATATACAGGTTAAGGTAAAGTTGTCCAGTTATATCCAACTCTAGTTGTTGTTGTTGTTAGTTGCAAAGTCGTGTCCGACCCATCGCGACCCCATGGACAACGTTCCTCCAGGTCTTCCTGTCCTCTACCATCTTCTGGAGTCCATTGAAGCTCACGCCTCCTGCTTCAGTGACTCCATCCAGCCACCTCATTCTCTGTCGTCCCCGTCTACTCTTGCCCTCAATCTTTCCCAGCATTAGGCTCTTCTCCAGTGAGTCCTTCCTTCTCATTAGGTGGCCAAAGTACTTGAGTTTCAACTTCAGGATCTGGCCTTCTAAAGAGCAGTCAGGGTTGATCTCTTCTAGGACTGACCGGTTTGATCGCCTTGCAGTCCAGGGGACTCGCAGGAGTCTTCTCCAGCACCATCGTTCAAAGGCCTCAACTCTAGGGGGCAGTGTTAATCTCCATTTCTTGGCCAAGGGAGCCAGCGTTGTTTGAAGACACTTGCGTGGTGATGTGGCCAGCATGGCTATATGCCAAAGGCACGTGGAATGCTATTACTTTCCCACCAAAGTGGTACCTATTTATCTTCTTGTCTTTGCATGCTTTCGAACTGCTGGGTGAGCTGGAGCTAAGGCAAGGACGGGAGCTCACCCCGTTCCGCAACGCTCGGGTCTTGAACCCCGGTTGCTTGCTGATAAGCTCAGCATCTTTAAACCCTGAGCCCCCAACATACCCATTGGAGCTGTCTTAGATCTCCTGACCTTCCTGCTTCTTGGGACCAGCAAAATCATGAGATTGTGACACTTACGACCTCACTTCCGCTCCAGTCGTTAAGTAAGACATCATGTGATCAGGACTTGCAGGATGACTGCCAGCTTCTCCATGGACCCTGCTTGTTAGAAACTAGCTGTGAAGTGTTCAGATGGTGATCATGGGGCCTTGGGACACTACGACTCTCGCATACTGCTTGAGAAGCACCTGGATCTCAATCGCATAAAGGCAACCAGTTAGTACTGAAATTGTCGTCGTCGGCCAGTAGCTCACTTTTTATGACTATTTGAACCAAGATCTGATTTCCACCCAGCTTTTCTTAAACCCTCTGTTATATAAAACTGTTGCCACTTGGCTGACTCTTCCTAGCTTCTACCTGTTTTTATTTTCTTCCTCTGTGGGTATTTCCCAATACTTGCTTGCTAAGAAACTCAGGGTGGGCTTGAGTTGTCATTTATAGTGGATTCACAAACAAGAGTTTGAGCTCTGGGGTTGGGGGTTGGTGCATCTATAAACATAGCCCTGGTCTGCAACTCATTAAAACAGCTGCATCCCTCCCTGGGAATATTTCGTATCCATCCATCCAGTACTCAATATGACGTCAAATAGCTTTGTTGTAGTGTCTCTTTGTTCTTCCTGACAACTCATGGAAGACGGTGCAACTTCTGTTTACCTCCCTCCAAGAAGAAGGAGCTGGCATGCGGCACAATGTTGTTGTTAACTTAGGCCGCGGTGTTGCCTAATTCCACTGGAGAGGCCAACTCAAGCGAGAGATAATTGATTGACGACACTCTTAAAGCATCCAACGGCCTCCTTTTTTTTTCATCCCACACAGTTTGGGCTTCAGATTTGAATGCCGCAAGACAGCTAACAGCCTCCCCTTACCAACCATCTGTTTTTTATATATATTACACAAGGAAAAAAGGGGGCACAGAGCCAGCCTGCACTGATCAAAAAAGGGAAAAGAAGTGTCTTCCCATAAAGAGGAATTGTTCCATGCACAGATGCTCAAAAATTGATGCCTTCGCTCAGCAAAGCGCAAAGAAAAGAATGAGGAGGAGCTGTTCCAAATTCTCCTTGATGGGAGAAGATGACGGCTGTGGCACTTTTCTGATGCAACGAAACACCGTTTCCGGCCAGCAACACAACATTTCTGCTAGGGTGAGGTTGGGAAGACTGAACTAAAGTATATAATGTCAACATTTGGGGTAACTACGGAACAAATGCCTCTGAAGACCATTTTAGGGTGGAAAGGAACAAAAGCTGCCGCAATGGATGAAAAACGGTCTGTTTTCAGTCAACCATTAGGCATTGCTACAAATATTAGTCAGTCAGAATAGAGCTGGAAGGGACCTTGGAGGTCTTCTAGTCCAGGGCTTTTCAACCAGTGGTATGGGTACCACATGTGGTACATTGGCACCTGGCAGGTGGTACGCGACCATCCTAGAAAAGTGGTAGCGGGTGAGGGGAATGAGCTGAACCGGTGGTAGCACCGCACAAGCCTGAGCGAGAGACGGCTGGAGCTGCAGGGCTGTCAGGGTTCAGCGGAAGCGCCAGGATCAGCACTTCTTCGGGACTCTCAGGGCTCAGCGGAAGTGCTAGGATCAGCGCCAGGGTCCAGCTGGAGCTCGGCACTGATCCTGGTGCTTCTGCTGAGCCCTGAAGAAGCACCAATCAGCTGGAAAGCAGGACTGATCCTGGTGCTTCTGCTGAGCCCAGAAGAAGCGCCGATCAGCTGGAACGTTGCAGCATCTCCAGGGTCTTGTGATTTACATTCAGATGCTTGGCAACTGATTCATATTTATGACGGTCACCGTGTCCCAGGGTCATGTGAAGTGACCAAAACCTGCTGCAACCACCCAGCAGATGGGGGGAATAAAAAGCAAACACCCCCCCACCCCCGCTGCCAATCCTCAACAGAAATGCTCACAACAATGGAAACCTCGGACAGGAGGAAGAGCGTCGCCAGGCGGGCAGGCGGGTGTCTTGCTTGGCTGTGGCTTGGGGGGCACTGTTTTCAGAGCATTGTAACTTCAAACAGTCACTAAGCAAACTGTTGTAAGTCGAGGACTACCTGTACTTTATCACTTTTTTCCCTTTTTTTTTTTTTGGTCATCAAGTTTTTGACACCTTCCTAGGCGTCTGGTGGTACTCAGATAGTGCCGTATCCTAAAAGTGGTACAATGGGTGAAAAGGTTGAAAAGCCCTGGACTAGTCCAGCCCCCTGCTCAAGCAGGAGACCTTATACCAGGGGTAGGCAACATGGACTCTTTTATGACTCGTGGACTTCAACTCCCAGAATTCCTGAGGGGAAAGGGAGAGGTTTCCAAGCTAAGCTATGCTGATTCTGGAATTCTGGGAGTTGAAGTCCATGAGTCATGAAGGGGCCATAGTTCCCCCATGCTGGCTCAGGAATTCTGGGAGTTAAAGTCCGCAAGTCATGAAGGGGCCATAGTTCCCTTATGCTGGCTCAGGAATTCTGGGAGTTGAAGTCCATGACTGATAAAAGAGCCGAGGTTGCCTACCCCCTATCAATAGTGGGATTCAAATAATT